ACTGTTTTATTTATTCAAATATAATTACAATTTTATGTCGCCACCGTCAAAATAACTTCCTTCTGAAGCCTCCCAGCGCTGGAGACGGTTCTTTCACTCCTCATAGCAGTGCTGGAACTCCGATACTGGAATAGCCTTCAGCTGGTCGATTACTGCCGTTTGAATGTTTTCGACTGTTCCAAAACGAGTTCCCTTGAGGTAATTTTTCAACTTCGCTAGGAGGTGTGGCGAAATTTCGTCCGACCTGGCAACACCGGGCGGATGACATTTTCCCCTGTCTCCTCTCCAAGCCCGGTGCCTTCAGTGTTGCCGGTTCGAACGCTACGTTGCCAGTTTCATTACTTAATTTATAAACCTCGGATATACAAGTTCATAATATGTCAAGCCTACTTTTTAATCGTGTTGAAAGGAATAATGAAACCTGGCGTCTAGTAGACTTCCTGCGCAACGCCACCATCAGTTTGCGTGTCTTGAACTGTTCCAAAATGAGTTCCCTTGAGGTGGTTTTTTAAGTTCGGGAGGAGGTGTGGTGAAATTTCGCCAGACCTGGCAACACCGGGTGGATCACATGTTCACCTGTCTCCCCTTTAAGCCCGATGCCTTCAGTGTTGCCAGATCCAAGGCTATGTTGCCATTTTCATTACCTAATTTATAGATCTCGGATATACAAATTCATAATATGTCAGGACTACCCTTCAATCCTGTTCAAAGGAATAATAAAAAATGGCGTCTAGTAGACTTTCTACGCAACGCCACCATCAGTTTCAAAGTCTTCGACTGTCCTAAAATGAGTTCCCTTGAGGTGATTTTTTAACTTCGCAAGGAGGTGTGGTGAAATTTCGCCCAGACCTGGCAACACCAGGCGGATCACATGTTCCCCTGTCTCCCCTCCAAGCCTGGCGCCTCCAGTGTTGCGAGATCGAACGCTACGTTTCCAGTTTCATTACTTAATTTATAAACCTCGGATATACAAGTTCATGATATGTCAAACCTACTTTTTAATCCTGTTCAAAGGAATAATGAAACCTGGCGTCTAGTAGACTTCCTGCGCAACGCCACCATCAGTTTGCGTGTCTTGAACTGTCCCAAAATGAGTTCCCTTGAGGTGGTTTTTTAACTTCGGGAGGAGGTGTGGTGAAATTTCGCCTGACCTGGCATCACTGGGAGGATCACATGTTCCCCTGTCTGTCCTCCAACCCCGGCGCCTGCAGTGCTGTCAGATCGAAGGCTATGTTGCCAGTTTCGTTACTTAATTTATAGACCTCGGATATACAAATTCATAATATGTCAGGACTGCCTTTCAATCCTGTTAGGAATAATGAAAAATGATGTCTAGTACACTACCTACACAACGCCAGCATTAGTTTGTCAAAGATTAAGCTCAGCACAAGTTAAAATTAGTTAAGAACACGTAATACGTGATTTCCGAAATTTTTGGGAATTGCAATTTTTCCTCGCCAGTTTGGTACGAAATTTAAATCGACGTCGTATTTTTGTAAACAATCAGAACTGAGACTTATCTTTTCACAAAATATCTCTCAGGGAAATTTCATTCGAATATCCATTTAAGCTTGAATACGTCTAGTAAAAGGTTTGCATTTTCAAAAAGCTTTTCAGCTCTCCAGATAATGAAAATAAAACTTTTGTTGCTTCTTGAGAATAATTTTTCCATCAACGCACGTACTCCTTAGCAAAACGCATCACAAGTTTTATCAATATCGCTTCGGTGGTCACTGAGGTTACGTAGGCAGAAAATATCTACGGAAATCTAAAACTTAGATTTTCGTGAAAACGTAAGAAAGTATTTTATGCCGATTTCAGTATATTCGCGGTCACAAAACGTCCCATGCCGCAGGCACTGAAAGTGAAACGTCGTTAGTACAGAAAACAAATTGAATGCATAAATTTTTCCGAATGTAGATGTAGAGAGCAAGCCACTTAGATAGCCACGTTTGCTCCAGAAACGCAGACCCGCGAGCGATACATTGTGGTCTGTAAAAGGGAAAATTACAAACGTTCTCGCCAAGTTTATGCCAAGTTTATGCTTAAGACGTGAGATAAACTAACAATTGGTATGTAAACAGATAGCAAGAAAAAATAGTCTAGTAAAATTAATTGGAGGATGGAGAGATCCGGGGTATCTCTAGAAGAAAAAATTCCATTCCTGATAATTCTGTGGATAACAGTCGTATTCATCATTACCATCCATAGACATCTTGTTCAGGAAATTGGCCGTCGTGTTTAATTGCACTGCAATGACGGTAATGCGTGTATATTGTGTGTGTGGCTGGAAGAAGGTAGAGGAGCACGAAGAAGGTCAACCGAGGCGTACTACATAGTGTCAAGCTAGGCACTACGCGTCAGATCGCTGACCAATGGTTTGGACTTTTTTCATTCTGTCCACGGTTAGTGCTTCCACTGACTGCGGGCAACGTTTGAAGTGGAGCAGAAAACGGCAACATTGGGAGGCAGAATGACATTATGTCATCTTCAGCGACGAATCGCGATTCTGTCTAGGTACACACGATGATCGTAGAAAAGTAAGACGCCGTCGTGGAGAACGGCGTGATATTGGATTTGATGTTGAGAGGCATGTACACAGGACTATTCTAGTAATGGTTTGGGGGGCTATTGCATATGGTAGCCGATCAGCCCTTCTCTTTGATCAAGGCAATATGACTACTGCGCGTTATATTGAGGATGTCCTACAAACCACTTTACTGCGAAAAAGATCCGGTTGAAGAATCATTTTTTCTCCTAATGTCACTGAGTATATAAATATTCTAAGTTCTTAGTGTAAATAACAAGTGAAAAAATTGTCAGCCTTATCAGTTGGACATTCCGGTTTTTATACTGCTTTTTTTTAATTCACTAACGCTCTAAAAATGAATATTTCAGCCGCAGTAAAGAATCAACGTTGGCGGATTTTGGTTCTTGACATCCTTTACGATCGGTTACGATGCCTAGAGTACGGAGACCTGTACGATTTCGTCAACTTAGTGAGTTTGATAGGGGCCGTATAGTGGGACTTCGGGAAGCTGGACTTTCTTTTCGGGCAATTGCAGTTAGAGTGCAAAGAAGTGTAGACACTGTGGTTAGGTGTTGTCAGGCATGGCTTCGAGAAGGCCGTACGCAAAGAGCAAGGGGCACTCGACGCCGCCGTAGAACAACAGACCGTGAAGATCGCCGCCTAAGATTATTGGCCTTAAGGGACCGTTTCTCCACTACCAGGTCCATTGCAAATGAATGATTTGCAGAACACGGAAGACCTATTGGCATGCGAAGTGTTTACCGACGAATGAGAAGTTTTGGCTTGTTTTCATACCGGCCACACTGGGTCCTCCCTTTAACTCGAGAACACCGACGTAATCGCCTTGAGTGGTGCAGACAACGGTCACTCTGGGATCAGGAATGGAACAGTATTGTCTTTAGTGACGAGTCTCGATTTTGTTTAGGTATGCACGATGGTCGTGCCAGGGTTAGAAGGCGACGTGGTGAAAGGAGGAATCCACAGTTTTTTGTTGAAAGACATGTTCATCACACTGTTGGAGTTATGGTTTGCGGTGCTATAGCTTATGGTTCCAGGTCACCTTTAATCTTCATCAGAGGTAACATGAACGCGCAGCGTTATATCCACGAAGTTCTAGAACCCCATCTTTTACCCTATCTTGACACCCTGGCAGATCCAACTTTCCAACAAGATAATGCCCGACCACATGTTGCAAGAGTCACAATAGACTTCTTTCAACATAATGACGTCACATTGTTACCATCCATGGCCACCAATATCTCCCGACTTATCCCCAATTGAGCACGTGTGGGATATGGTGGGTAGGAGATTGCTCAATTTGCAACGTCCTCCTCAGACTCTAGAAGCACTTCGAGAGGAGTTGGTGGTTGCCTGGAATGAGATACCACAGGAGGATATTGACCACCTGATCAGAAGCATGCCTAGGCGCGTTGGAGAATGCGTAGCACATCAGGGTGCATCCACACATTATTAAAGGTCAAAGGGCTTTAAAGCAGTGCAATCATTTTGAAATTTTTATCATTTACTTATTATGCTTCATTAAGTACTTATACAAAATTTTATTAAAATAAAACCATTTAAACTGGGTGTTCGGATTTATATGTCACTTAGTATATGTTAGCTCTACTGTGTCCTTTTTGTTTAAAAGCGATCACTCATATAGGTTCTACTATAACTAAATTTTGGAAAACCGCATGCGTTAGGCATTTTGCTAAAATTGATGGAACTGGTGATTATTAGTATTCTTCCAGTGTTATCGAAAGTATTAGAAAAAATTGTATATGAGCAATTGATGCAGCACGTAGATAATTTTTCATCCACGCAGCAATGTAACAACTCTGCTCGATGTTTGTGTCCTGGTTTTTCGTGATAATAATAATAATAACATAATATCTCATTTTCGAAATTTTTCGCGTTTACCATGCAGTGGGAAATAACAGTCGTTGAATTATATATGACTATATCTCAACACGGATTTTTCTCATATTTCATAAGTTAGTTATAATATAGAATGTTTTAAATCACTTTATATCAGATAGCTTTCAACATTGTTGAATTTTGGTATCTATTTCTCCTGAGCTATTACTAACAAAGGCAATAAAACGCTTGTATTTACTGTTTCAGATCGCCTCAATGGCATGGAATAAAAACGAAAAGGAACGTGAACAGTTTTAATTCAAAGCGCGAAATGGTATTTATTATAATTTTGTACATGGAACGATGTAAAATGAAACATTTGTGCATTTTCATGGTGCGCGGGAAATATAAAGTATAAAAATATTGTTTAAAGTTTTAAAAGCATTGCAGAACAAAGGCTTAAATAGTGCGGGCTTAGAAAAATGCCCATTGCAGTGGAAAGTTAAAGGCTTATTTATCAACGTTTTTTGAAAACAATAATGTTATACAGGATGTTTAGTTGGATTTATCAAAAACCACTGATTAAAAGAAAAAACATCGGGAAACGTCAAAGTAGACGATAACGCTGGCTGAGAACCTATAACTTAAAGAGCTGTTTTGTGCTTTTTGGCAACTCATCAGTATTGTTCACTGGTCTCACTGCCGAGTCAACTAAGTTTTTTGGATATTACAATGATGATTTCTGCTGAAAATTGAAGGATAGCGACAACACTGTATTCCAAGATTACCTAGACTGAAGATTAAAGCTTATCCATCACTGTTCGAAAGTATAGAAGTATTGAAGCACATCCCGGAAGTTTCCGTACAATTTAAAACTCCTATTTTTATGCTTCATAGCAACCGTCGCTGTTATAAATCAGTTGTATAGCTCAGCGTACGGAAGCAGCGTAAAATACAAGGAATGGTAAATCCGATTCTTTTACTCGGAGTTCCTTTATTGCAGGAATATATTCTAGCTCTCTGTTTTAAGTGGTGTGAGTTAGTTTAATAGACTACTATATCGATCCCGATTTTCATTATGTTTTTTCGGGTACTGATTAACGATGAGACACGAGCTGAACCAAACACTCATGTCGACTGGGTGGGGCTCAGAGACGTCTTCTCCACATTTCCTTAGAGAGATGTTTCTTTCGTCAACGCAGGTCATTTGAATGTAATTTGTAGTAATGGGGACTGAAACATTATCACAGGGTGAAGATTTTTCCGAATTTGAAATGTACACGACTTCGATTTTCACCCTGTATAACAGTAGAAGACAAGCAGTGAATATACACGTTACACTTGATGCTCGATCACTATTTTCCTTGTATATTTACCTCAATCATCTTTTTTACAGGTGGAAGGCAGGAGTAGCCTCCTCCCTAAACTACATCGACCTCCGCACCGCCAACAAATCATCCCCCCTAACCCCCTACCCCAGCTGGGAGGCCAACAAGCTCCCCAAACAAGGTCAACAACCGCCCGAGAACCAAATCGTCAGTGTGTTTCGTAGCTTCGTGGACACATGCGATCGTCTGTGGGTCATGGAGACCGGATTGGCGGATATTCTTGGGAGCCCACACCAGGTGTCGCCACCTGCGATAGTAATATTCGATTTGAACACGGATAAGGTGCTCAGAAGGTACCTTTTGAAGCCGGAGGATATCAAAGGGGATGATTCGTTCTTTGCCAATATTGTAAGTATCCTTCGTCATTCGCCATTGGGATTGGGGAAACGGTATGAGATGTGAGATCACTTGAACAAAAAAAATAAGATACATACTTCCGAAAAAACCCGAATTTTCCCAAAATAATCTTACTTTTTTCTTGACTTCACATTGTCACTTTTTCTCCTCTACAGGAGGGCTTAATCAATACAACGTTTCGTCTATTCTCCTCCAGCATCAACTTTATTTTTTCTTGTAGACCTTGGAGGTAAAAGTCAAGGTCAAATTCAAGATCACTGTTCATCTTACGTGAAAATTTACGAAACACCTGACCCTGATACTTGTTTTCATTACTAATCCTGTGGGATTTATAGAGGTTTTCCTAGCAGCACACATTTGACCTTTAAATGATTTTGCCGGCATCAAAAATAGAGATTTCTACTAAAAACATGAAGTTGACGTTCAAATGATCTTAGAGGTGAAGATCAAGGTCAAATCCAAGATCACTGTTCATCCCTCGTTGAGATTTACGAAAGTCCTGACCCTGATAGTTCTTTTCATTACTAATCCTGTGGGATCTACTGAGGTTTTCTTGCCCACACACATTTGACGCTTAGATGGCACCCTAACCTTAGACTTCAATCCGTACATGAACGTAAAATTTTCTGCTCCTTCGACTGCCTTCACCAAAAATAGGAATTTTCATTGAAAAAATAAAGTTGACTTTGAAATGGCCTTGAAGGTGTAAGTCGAGGTCAAAACCAAGGTCAGCGTTCCTCGTTGAAATTAACTCACCCTGTGAGATTTAGTAGTCATCCTGACCTTGGACTTCAATTGTGTTTGAATTTAAAGTTATCCGCTCTTCGAGTTCCGGCATCAAAAATAGAGATTTCCATTAAAAAAATGGAGTAGACCTTGAAATTACCTTGGAGTTAAAGATCACTGTTCACCCCTCGTTAAAATTTACGAAAGACCTGACTTTGATAGTGGTTTTCATTACTAATCCTGTGGGATTTATAGAGGTTTTCCTAGCAGCACAGATTTGACCTTTAAATGATTTAGCCGGCATCAAAAATAGAGATTTCTAATAAACACATGAAGGTGACGTTCAAATGATCTTAGAGGTGAAGATCAAGGTCAAATCGAACATCACTGTTTATCCCTCGTTCAGATTCACGAAAGCCCTGACCATGATAGTTCTTTTCATTACTAATCCTGTGGGATCTACAGAGGTTTTCCTGCCCACACATATTTGACGCTTATTTGGCGCCTTGACCATAGACTTCAATATGCGCTTGAACGTAAAATTTTCCGCTCTTTCGATTGCCTAGACCAAAAATACAAATTTTCATTAAAAGGATAAAGTTGACTTTGAAATAGCCTTGATGGTGATAGTCGGGGTCAAATTCAAGGTCAGCGTTCACTTCCTCGTTGAAATTAACTCATCCTGTGAGATTTAGTAGTCATCCTGACCTTGGACTTCAGTTGTGTTTGAATTCAAAATTATCCGCTCTTCGAGTTCCGGCATCAAAAATAGAGGTTTCCATTAAAAAAATGGAGTTGACCTTGAAATGACCTTGGAGTTGAAGTTCACTGTTCACACTTCGTTAAAATTTACGAAACACCTGACCCTGATAGTTGTTTTCATTACTTATCCGATGGGATTTATAGGTTTTTCTAGCAGCACACATTTGACCTTTAGATGGCGCCTTGACCTTAGACTCCGATATGCACTTGAACGTCAAATTTTCCGCTCTTTCGATTGCGTGTACCAAAAATACGAATTTCCATTAAAAAGATAAAGTTGACTTTGAAATAGCCTTGAAGGTGAAAGTCAAGGTCAAATTCAAGGTCAGCGTTCACTTCGACGTTAAAATTTACTCATCCTGTAAGACTTATGCAGTACACATTTAATCTTCATTTCACCTTTAGTAGTCATCTTAACCTTAGACTTTAATTGCGTTAGAACATGAAATTTTCTGTTCTTTCGACTGCCGTCATCAAAAATGTGGGTTTCTATTTGGAAAAATTAAGTTGACAAAACAATAACCTAGAAAGTGAAAGTCAAGGTCAAATTCAGGGTCGCCGTTGAATACCTTACTGAGAAATACTGAAGACCAGACCTTGATCTTTTCCTAAACTACCTTACCCCAGAAAATGCAGAGCCGCTCGGAGAGTTTTGTGTCACGCTGTATTTTACTAAAAAGCATGCTTATACAGGGTGTTTCAGTTTATTGTTGCATAAGTTTAAGATTCGATAGAACTTTTAAAATTAATGCATAAAGTCTATATAAACATGGGTCGAAAAATGCGTGGCTTCTGAAATTTACTGTCTAAAATAGTTTTTTTAAATATTTCGAACAATGTTTGATGTATAACAGTGAAAATTGGTATACAAGGGTTTTTTGGTACGACAAAACGAACCATGGGCATAATTTTACTGTAGCCGCTAGAGGGCGCTCTCTACTCTACCTGTAAGGTATTAAAATGACCGAAAATTTATTTTTTCTTAGTGCAATTTTTTGCTTGTTGAATAAAAAAACTAATTCTTCGTACTTTTCAACATAAAAAAGCTCTCTTGTGAATTTTTGTTATAGTTAACCGTTTTTGAGATATTTCGATTTTTAAGGTTCGATGCATTTTTAATTATTTATGATAAAATAACCTTAAAAAGTCGGTATCTCGATAATTTTTAGAAGTAGGCTGTGCCTGCAAATATTTTTGAAATTGAAAGCAGAATAAGGTTAAACGTCATTTAGTTGACAGTTAGTTTTGTTGTCTGTTGAAACCTGAAACGTTTTTTGCAATTGTGAATGAACGAAATTTAGTTTCTTTTACCTGTTTTTTTTTTGTAAGTTTTATAAAAATCAACATCTTTGGTCGCATGAAAATCCGCATGCAGTTCGGGAAAGAAATTTTCAGCATGAATTTAGTGTGAACGTGTGGATGGGTATCTACCGTAATCGACTATTTGGTCCCTACCTTTTGCTTGCAAGGTTAAATGCTGCGAACTTCTTGGAATTTTTAAAGGCTGAACATGCAAATATGTGGGATGACGTTATGTTAGATTTAAGAAGATTGGCCTGGTTCCAGCGTGATCGTTGTCAAGCTCATTATTCGAGAATAGTTAGAAACTGGCTGGACGAAAATTATCCAGAAAGATGGATCATTAGATTTCTTGTGTGGAGATTTCTAAAAGAAAAAGTGTACCAGACTCCCGTAACCACAAGAGATATGCTAATAGACAGAATCAGGAATGCATGTGATGAAATAAGGCCTTATTTGAATAATGCCGTACCACGTTCGATCATTCGTAGATGTGAATTGTGTATTGAACAATTGAGTTTAAATTTCGAGCAACTACTTTAGATTTTGTTTGTTTGTCCTAACTATCCAATAGCATATTAGTTGTAAATAATTAATTTAATTTGTTAAAAATAATATTGGAAAATTAAACAAATTAATATTCTGTTTTTTTGTGTTTATTTGGAGTTAGGAATTATTGCTGTGTTTAAAAACACAATCTAAACGATTATCTTAATTACTTGTAATGCCCAAATCTAAAATGTAAAAAAACATATTATTTTCCCATAAATAATTAAAAATGCATCGAACCTTAAAAATCGAAATATCTCAAAAACAGCTAACTACAACGAAAATTCACAAGAGAGCTTTTTTATGCAGAAAAGTGCGAAGAATCAGTTTTTTATTCAAAAAGCAAAAAATTGCACTAAGAAAAAATTTTCATACACTACAGGTACGCCCTCTAGCGGCTACAGTAAAACTATGCCCATGGTTCGTTTTGTCGTACCAAAAAACCCTTGTATACCAATTTTCACTGTTATACATCAAATATTGTTCGAAATATTTAAAAAAAACTATTTTAGAAAGTAAATTTAAACACCCTGTATTTCAGAAGCCACGCATTTTTCGACCCATGCTTATATAGACTTTTTGCATTGATTTTAAAAGTTCTATCGAATCTTAAAGTTATGCAACAATAAACTGAAACACCCTGTATATTGTCTGACCTATACGCTCTGTAAATGAAGGTCCCAACTTTGCGGACACCCTGTATATTTAACCATCCCGCTTGAAGGATTATAGCTAATAGATGTTAAAGATTTGAGTGTCTCATATATAAAATGTTCTTTTAAGGCCGTGGTTGATTTATGTATATACTTTTTATTCATTGCTGTATTACCTCATCTTCTTGCAAGGCCTTCACTTTCAAAATAAGTGCTTCGAATTACCAGCAATGTTTTACCGTACTCTCCTGGGGCTCATACATCACTTTTTTATTAAGGAAATGATAAATTTTCATTATTTTTTTACGCTAATTGGTTTCGTCAATGCATGTCTCGGTTTTGTTTTTTAATTGATAAACTGTAGAATAGAAACTATAATTGTTAATATGGAAATAAAGTCAAAAAAGATGATAAAAAAATTGTTTAGCAATTTTTACTCCCCACGCTTACTAGCGCAGGAAATATTGTAATAGGTTAAAATTTCGAAAATGAAGTATGTTTTTTTCCTTGAAGTACACTTTTACTTTTTTTAACAAAATAAATTTGTTGCATGATTTTTTTACTTATCCTGGAAATGAGGCTTGACCCAGATCAGAGTCGTTTCCATTTTTTCCATGGAAAACAAATTCCAAAACTTGTTTTTTCTCTACAGCATATGGGCGGCAGTCAAAAGATTCGAAAATGTCTTTCGAGATCAAACATAATATACGAGGTCTGTCCGATAAGTACTCAGCCTACAAAAGGAAAACGAAAATTTTGGAGAAGAGGCGATTTATTTCTCATCATACCCTACTTTAAGCTCGATTCAATTGACCCAGCGATGTTACAAATTCTTTAACCCGTCTGGAAAATACGTTTTTTATAGGTCCTCAAAGTAGGACTCCGTGGCGGCGATAAACTCCTCATTCGACTCGAATTTCTGCGCGGCCAATGAAGTTTTCAAGTTAGGAAACAAGAACCGATATTGCTCTTTTTCCATTTTTCTAAAATCCGCAGACTCGACTGAAATTTTAGACAACTATCAGAATGCTCTACACGATAGTGAATGACTCTTGCTATGGTGGCGCCATCGACCGGTGAGGCTGAGTACTTGTCGGATCGCCCCCGTAAGTATGCACATCGAATGCACGTTTGATTAACAATTAAAAACAAAGTTTTACACTAACCTTCTAACATTCATTGGGTTTTTTTTTTTTTGATGGATGTTTGCGGAGTATTCAAGTACTATGGCGACATTAAATTTTTTATAAATATTGTTTTTCAGTTTCGAAAATGGCATATTTTCTGCTTTTTTAAATATCAAATCGCTTATATCTCTAGACCTTAGAGAAAAGTTCATGAGACCGTTTTTCAATCAGAATGACGCAAAAATCTAAACAAAGTTTGACCATTTTTTGAATTCAGTTAAATAAATTGTATGAACAATTTTCACGCAGAATTGAGGCTATCAACAAGCATATTCGTTAAAACAGGTCCTTCTGAATAAGAATATGCAAAAACCGCATCAGAATATTTTTTATAGCGGATGAGAAGGTACTTCCTGGGCAAAGAATACGCATGGATTTTCGAAAATCTCATAAGAATCCTAAAAACATTATACAAATTACTTAAACATGCCGAGTTTTAGTTTTTTGTAACAACGGGAGACTAAATGGATATTGATCCTTCAAATTTCTACATATTCTACATATTTTACGTATGTAACATCTCAATCTTATCGAATTTTTCGTCTTTGGCACAATAGTAACTATCAGTTTCATCAAAACCCGATTTAAGTATATAGCAAAAAACAATATCCAGATTTCAGACTTTTCATCGATTTTTATACTGCACCTATTGACGTTTGCAATGAAAGCAGTAGACTTACTGAAAAATAGAAATGGCAACGTTGCACTTGTTGTTGTTGCATATTTTTCTTATATACCAAGTTTTAGAAAACAATTATCCACAGCCAAATGGCTCAGTGGCAAGGGTGAAAATCTCGCAAACGGGCTTCTCGGGTTCGAAACCAAAAACACGCAGATTGAAAGCGCTAGATGTACTGAAAAATGGAAATGGCAACGTTGCACTTGTTCGTCTGTTTGTGTCCGTCACTGAGAAGCGAGAAATTCATCTCGCTGAGAATCCAACAGTAACTCTAGATCATAACTCGGCAGTTGAACAGCTTGTCTATTATCTAGATGGCTATGGAACATATTTTTCTTATATACCGAGTTTTAGAAAACAATTATCCACAGCCAAATGGCTCAGTGGCAAGGGTGAAAATCTCGCAAACGGGCTTCTCGGGCTCGAAACCAAAAACAAGCAGATTTTTTTTGTCTCCATTTTGATTTGTTTCCTTTCTTATGGTACAATTTTTTGCTTTGTTGATTGAAATTCATCTGAATGTTGTAAAATGGGATTTTATTAATGGATGATTGAAGGATACTATATAGGTACTTTGACAACATATTTTTTGCTTTTTTTATTCTGTTTTTCGGAGTCGAAAAAATTATATACTTTTCCAAATCGCTTCTCAAAAACTATTAAGCTTCGACGTAAGTTCTTAGGAATCTTTATAGTTCAGAATGGCCCAAAAAATTTATAAAAGCGAAAAAAAAACAGTTTTCGGAGTTTATTTAAAAAATTTCTTCTTTTGTTGAATTTTGTGTCAGGCGACTATGTATAAAAATAGCGTAAAGATCAGCGTTTCCAATGGTAAATTCGTTTTTTCGAATAAAAAATTCCCTGTGCCTGAAAAACATGTGGGAACCCTATTTATGAGACAACCCTCGTATCTCGTATTTTACTTACCACCAGAAAGTAGCATTTTTTGTGTACCTTTATCAAAATGCCCACACTAACGCGTGGAAAGTACTAAGACAATCTTCTTGATCCCATTTTTAACCCCTGCCATGCTTTTCACGCACTGTAACGATTTTTTTTTTCAATTTGCAGGTGGTAGATTTGCAACCCGGTAGGTGTGACGAAGCATTCGCCTACATCCCCGATTTAGGCGGATATGGAATAGTCGTATATTCGTTCAAGGACGACGATTCTTGGCGAATCAAACACAACTTCTTCCATTTCGATCCCTTGCAAGGCGATATGACAGTCGGGGGTGTCAATTTCCAGTGGACTGACGGCGTTTTCGGAATAGCTCTGGGAAATCCTAACGAAAATGGGTAAGTTGAAAAGTAGTTTATGAGAATTTTCCACAACTACTATATGTTTCTCCTTTCCGCAATAATTATTTATTCGTTTATTTATTTAAACTCTTACAAACACTTTTGAATATAGTTACATGTAGGAGTGCTTACTGGCTAGTAGAGAAACAGAGAGAATACAAAAAAACTTATAACAAAAAAATAACGACAAAGAATATAAATATACTTTGAAAACTCTGAAAACAACGCTCCCTAAGAGCCCGTGTTAAAATGTTGTCTCCTGGTTTTTGTGAAGAAAGCAGTTTCTGAGATCTGAGTAGTACAGACCTCCAAATTATACCCATGTTAGCGACTTTGATAGGGGTAGAATATTGCCTATCGAGATATTGGTTTGTCCTATCGCGAAATTGGCCGCCGTGTTAACTGTACTGCCATGGCGGTAATGCGTGTGTGTCGTGTGTGAATAGAAGAAGGTAGAGGAGCACGAAGAAAGTCATCTGGTCCACCGAGGCGTACCACAGAGCGTCAAGGTCAGACAACTAGCCCATTGAGACCGTTTTGCTACTATGCCTCAGATCGCTGACCAATGGGTTGGAGAAGGTAGACCTGTTACTATGTGTTCACTCTACCGCCGCATTCGAGCCTTTGGATTTTTTCATACCATCCACGGTTAGTGCTTCCTCTGACTGCGGACCACTGTCGTCAACGTTTACACACTAAACACTACCTAGTCTGCAAGATGACATTCAGTCGTTTTTTACGTTTTTTACATAATACCTGCGTTTCACGTTCAACACCTCTTTATTTAGTACAAAAAAACTCTACATCTGCTTTGAGTATGCAACCAACAACACAGTTACACTTTGCGTATTTGAAAATAAATGTTAAATGCCTGACACTAATTATAAAAGTTTTAGAGAGTGATTTAAATTTTAAATACAGCTTTGCATATTACGAGATACATTTATAACAGAATTAAAATAAGCTTCACCCATATAATGTATTTTAATGCGTAATGGGAATCATGAATAACTTTTCAGTAATGGAGAGCTTGAATAGAGACCTTTGAAACTGGGATAGAATACATAACTACTACTAATTTCACTCTACATGCCTTAATTTCCGAATGAATCAAATAAAAAGAAACTTTTTAAGCGTATATATATATACCTGTAGGTGAAAAATTAAAGCTTCCGCCTTTTGTTGGGTACTTCGACAAAATTTAAGCAAAGAGGACTCTTTATACTTTTTTAATTCTCTCTAGCTTTCAATGGACTTTGCCATCATCATCAGGAGCTGCAATTACAATGATAACAGTAGCAACAAAAGTGTAAAATGAATTTAAATTGACTCAACGTACAGTGGTATGTGAGGATGTTGCTAATTGTTGTTTACGTATAGGATGAGGGAAACGTCCAGTAACATGGTGAGAGCTGGATACATGGTACAATGGTCAAAATTATATAAAATATGACAAGAACAAGTTAAAGACAGATTAAAAATTATTTAAAAACATTAGTGCATTACATCGTGAAGCCACTTGATGATTGCACAAAATGGTGGTCATGGAATAATGATTGAGGTGAACCATTTGACAGAAGGCCGAAGGTTGTCAATGTCTGTGTTGAAAGATGGAACGAATTGTGGGCGTGTGCTAAAACGTTGCCAAATCACTTCAGATGATGTGATTTTCAGAATGTTATGTAAGAAATTGTTAAACCGACCAGAGGCAGTTGAATAAACTATATTTTAATTAATGGGAATTTAAATTAACAATTATTAATAAATCGTGAGAAGAGAATTATTAGATTTTGAGTGGAATGAAATTTACTGGTGGAATCGGCCAAAACACAGATTTTATTTATGGTTGTGAAGAGTCGAAATTTGGGGAGATATGTAAGTTTTCCAATTTTTCGCAGTTTAGCAAATATGAGTAAATGACACTCAGTTGTTTAACATCTGTCTTTTTGTTGATACAGTTGTTATTCATGACCACCATTTTGTGCAATCACGATGTAATGCTCTAATGTTTTTAAATAATTTTTAATCTGTCTTTAACTTGTTCTTGTCATATTTTATATAATTTTGACCATTGTACCATGTATCCAGCTCTCACCATGTTACTGGACGTTTCCCTCATCCTATACGTAAACAACAATTAGCAACATCCTCACATACTACTGTAAGTTGAGTCAATTTAAATTCATTTTACACTTTTGTTGCTACTGTTATCATTGTAATTGCAGCTCCTGATGATGATGGCAAAGTCCATTGAAAGCTAGAGAGAATTAAAAAAGTATAAAGAGTCCTCTTTGCTTAAATTTTGTCGAAGTACCCAACAAAAGGCGGAAGCTTTAATTTTTCACCTAACTGGTCTAGACGACAATGACCAAGTTATATATATATACATGTATATATATATATATAACTTGAGACGTGAAAAATAGAGCTTCCGCCTTTTGTTGGGTACGTCGACAAAATTGAAGCAATGAGGACACTTTATACTTTATTAATCTCTAGCTTTCAATGGACTTTGCCATCTTCATCAGGAGCTGCAATAACATTGGGAAGAAATAGCAACTATTGTGCAAAATGATTTTAAATTAACTTATAGTAGTATGTGAGATTGTTCTGTTTTTTCAGAGATCGTACCGTGTACTTCCATCCTCTAGCCAGCACAATGGAATTTTCAGTCAATTCGCACGCCTTGAAGAATAGAACTTTAGCTACGGATCCACACAGCTATGATCTTTACAAGGTATGAGCTCTATTGTAGATATTTTTACTAGAAACTGCAATCAACGTAATACCAAAAAAGTCTATATTAACTGTAGGATGTTGACAATAAACAAACCTTGGTTTGGACCATCTTTCTCTATTCCAACCCAGTTTGAACCAGTCAGGGAAACGTCTAAAGGCTTTATTTCTTATTAATACTTTGTTTGTTTATGACTTATGACTTTATGACTTATTCCTGAGTTTTTTCGCTTTTTTCTATAAGAAGTGGAAAATCCTGTCCACAGTTTTATCTGCGAATTAAAAATTCACAGTCGATTAAGCAATTTTGCCTAGGTATAAAATAAACACTGGCATCCTAAAACTTTTGTATATATTTCAGATTGAAGGTACGAAAGGTCCAAATTCCCAGACTTCCGAATCTACAATCGATCCAAAAACAGAAGTAATGTTCTTCACACAACTCCAGAAAGACGGAACTGCCTGTTGGAACGTCAAAACACCTCTGGAGCCTTCCAACGTCGGAATGGTTGCAGAAGACACTGAAAGGATGATTTTCACAAATGACATCACTGTAAGTACTTACAAGATATTTTTTCAATGAGATCCGTCGCTTATCAAGGGTGTTTCCAAGTGGAGTCATTTATTTTAACTGCTTGTAGGACTCGTCAAAAATCAACTATATCTATCATATTTTCGTTTCCATGGCAGTTATCCATTGAGTTCAGGTGACTGGGCCCATAACCTAAAATATTCTGACATCGTGCTGACACAGATATCACAATGTCATTTTCGTTTCAGATTGACTCAGATCGCAACCTTTGGATGTTATCCGACAGAATGCCTGAGTTTATCTACCGGCGCTTGGATCCAAACCAAATAAACTACAGGATATTTAAAGTGCCAGTAGACGAAGCTATAAGGGGTACACCCTGTGATCCAATGTACCAACAAAGTACCACATTACGCAATGCACAACAGCTTTAGGATTAAATTTGTATTTGTAGTATTTTTTGTTGTATTTTATAAATAAAAGGTAGTTTTAAGACAACTGTTTTTTTTTATTTAGGCCAGGCAAAAATGCATAAAATGATTCGAGATCAAGAGCGCAAAGCATTATTTTGCCGCTCAAGAAATACACCCAAAAACCTAATATTGAAGAGGTTATAAAAGAGCTAAAATATATATATGTTTATAAATATAAGGGTTACTAATCTGTGACGTCAACTTTGGGATGTTTGAATAAGTTTGCAAATAAAACAACAACTTATTAATAACAATTTATTGAAGATTTTAAATCTGAATAACGACAATACACGTGTATAAAAATGAAATAAAAAATTACAAAAGAATATAATTTCATAATAATATTGAATAAATAAATTACAACAAATGAGTTACTAAAATATGGTGAATAATATATTCAAATTTTATTTTTATACCGCTATGATTCGTAATCTTACTCAGCGCAATACGATTTAAATACGATTTATCAACTTTGTGAAAATATATTATTTTTTAATTTACAATAAAAAAAATATAAAATGGTGTGGTGGATATACTCCTTTTAGGAAAAATTCGAAAATCGCTTGTGGTTTTTGTAGCTTTTGCCAGGTTAAAAATTTTTTGATCAGTAAAACCTCAGTCACAAAATATTATTCCAGTTCTTTCTATAAAATACCCACCACAAATCACAACTTCTCATTTCTCATCAACTAAAATCTTTAAAATGCACTTTTCGTGCTATGAAGAGCACGAAAACATGGCGATAGCCGGGTCTTCAGTTTCGTACGTTATCAGAACGTCCCTGAATTTATCTAAAAGTTGCATTAATTGACTCCTTCTCAGGTTCTCCAGGTACATGATTTCTTCAATGTGATGATTCCCTTGGAAATAATCTTTACGGCACAGCCTTGCGAATAATTTCAGGTCTTCGGGCGTATTTGTAGCAGGAATCTATAAAAACGGGTATTAAGGTATTTCTCCACAAGGTGTTCTTCGTTCTCAAGATGGATATTAAGCAGATTACCAGCTTATCTTTGTTTAAACTTAGAAACACTTTGCTGAATAAGGCATTTTATAAAAACAAAGGAATTTTTGTGCGACTAACTCCGCTATTCTATTAAAAAATGTACGGGCCCGGGAATTCACCACTGCTGTATAAATTGGGAAAATTAGAAACTTTGTGTAGTGTGAGTCATGTAAAATTTTTACACCAGTTCTTGTGGACAATATTGAAGTTTTGAAGAATAATAAAAAAACTCGTACTTTGAATATAGAACTCCTCTCTTCATCGGGAAAATCCAGCAGCAATTCTTCCTGATAGTCCTGTTTATCATTTTCCGTGGAGGTAAAGCTCAAATTCTCCATGCTAAAAATTGGGAAGCGTCAGAAAAAAGCGTAGCATAAAGCTTGGTGCACATACACTATACTCCTAGCAGTGATGATCTCTACAGTTTCGGACAGAGTGGAAGCACCACTTTCAGACTCTGCCCTGGAATGTTCTGCGTTCGGTTGATAAGAACTGGACAGCATAGCACTACTTCTTGGCGATGGGGAGGTTAACTGTTTCTTGCTAAACTCCCTACAAAAGAACGGCTCATCAACGGGGAATTCATTTCATTTCATCGTAATAACGCAGAAGAAAAAAATCTCATCATATAGCGTGAAAGCCACTTACATGGCACAACATTTTGTAAAAAGCATTTGGGGTCAAAAAAATCCTAAAAGCAATCCCATTATTTGGGGGATCATTAATATAGATGAGAAAGAGTATGGGGCCTGGGACAGATCCTTGTGGCACTCCTACCGATATCTTCCTGTTTGCTTGATATCTCTCTTAAAAATTTTCCTTCCTATACAAGTTGTCTACGTCTACTTACAATTTGCTATTCAGTAGTCCATTCTCGGTCGGCATATACTGAATGTAAGTATGTAACTGGATCAACAAGTGGTGTTGCAACATCCAAATGATGGTCTTGATCAGTTGAGATTGTTGAGACGGATGGCAAAGTGGATTGCATTTTTGCCCCAGCGATGTGGGTAAAGAAAATTCGCTAATTACCTGCCAAAAAATTAGAATCAGTTTGATGCCTTATCTTCCAGTACCCCAAGAGCCCTCCCTCAACGACAAGGGTGTCCGCAAAGTTGGGGTTTTCCTTTACACGACGTGTAGATCTTGAAAACATAAGCAATTTTTCTTAGTACCATATAGACCAATATCTTAAGGGAACCGAGATAAAGGGCTCTGCAACATATCTGAATACCGTCCTGTAGCCGCGACCCGCCGCGATATCCCCGACTGGTACAAGGTCTCAACCCGACGGCAGAACTGGGTCGGGTCAGTGTGTCAGGTCAGTATGCAACCTTCAACCGACGGTTACGGTCACGCATGAGGAGGTAATCGCGTAGACGAGAATCCCTCAACAAGCACTAGAGACGTGGCTAGAGAAGTGCAAGTATCAAAAACTAAAGTGTGGCAAACGCTGCGTGAAGAGGGGCTTTATCCGTTTCACGTCCAACGTGTACAAGCCCTTCAACCTGACGATTTTCCAGCAAGAGTGCGGTTTTGTGAGTGGTTGTTGCATCAACATGACAATAATCCGGACTTTTTGAAGTGCATATTGGTGACAGACGAATCTACGTTCACGCGTAATGGGGTGAATAACTTTCGCAACACTCATGTTTGGTCAGTAGAAAATCCGCACGCTGTCCGTCGGGCACATTTTCAACAAACATTTTCGGTGAATGTTTGGGCTGGCATGGTGAACTGTATGCTCATTGACTTTTTACGCAACATTTTGCCTTCCTTGTTTGCCTGCGTCTGCTCGATAGCGCATCAGGTCATTTTCTGTTGGAGCGGTATGATTTCGGGCAGAGACGTACTTAGCCCTTCTCGTCAACTGGAGAGTGAGTACTTTTTCCTTTATCTTTTTTTTACTTGGTCGCCCTCGTTTCACTACACATTACCTTTGTTATTTCAGGGGTAGTTGTTTCTGAAAAGGAAAACCCCAACTTTGCGGACACCCTATATAATGTGCGTCTCTCTGCCCGGTGACGTGCCCACTACTGGCCACTTTTTGACCAGAGTTGAGGACATCTCGCCCGCGCCTGACAAAGAAGACCTACAGATAAGTTTAATATTTAGGCGCAAAATATCTGTAAATACTTCGGGCGTATACCATGGTAGACGTCTTCCGGGGTTATCCCGAAAAATAATTTTGTCAGGTTGTATATAAGATTTATAACATCCTTTCTTTTTTTTATTACTCGCACTCCAGTAGTGGAGCACATGTGCGTTGTTTTATTAATCAATATATTGTGATTCATTTAATATCTTGTTTTATTTGGCTCTGTCTGTGTGTACTGTTACTTTAATCTCTGTTAGATTCTCCTTTTGTGTGGCGGTCAAGCACAAGTTCCGACTAACATCTCGAGGAGTTGTGGATTAATCCGCCCTAAGTCAATGGCGTTCTTAACGCCCCCCCCCCCCTACTCTCCGCTTTATTGAGCTAGGGCCTAGACTAGACAACTGTTTTGCTTGGATCAACCGTTAGATAGTATGTATCATTGTGTTTTATTGATTAATCAAAAAAGGCGTTGCAAATTTTGTGGCGCCCAACGTGGGGCCTAATATCCCAGAGTCCGGAAAATGACGAAACGACCAATGCACCACGACCTCATCGGAAACAGAAAAGCGAATCACGCACTCTATTATCAATGAAGAGAAATTCAAATTACGGATACGTGATAAATAGTAAAAAAAAGGTTAGGTGATTTGGCACGTGACAAATGTCGTTAAAAAAATAGGTATGATGTCAACTTGTATACCAGCTCGTCGCTAGTCCATGCCACGTGCACTTGCTGCGAACACCACCTGTTGTATAAAATTTACAACTTAAACCATAGAAGCGATAAATGGCCTCCAACCGCTAGTGCCATCTCTGAAGCGGATGTTATATCACATTAGAGCCATGAAAGTGAAATGACGTTTAGGCAACACGCACAGCTACTACAAATGAACATAACAAATGTAGCACCCCCAAGAAATTTGATTCAGCACAGTAGGGTTTCTGAGGTCGCTAATTTCAAATCTGCTGTCAAAAAACCGAAATTCAATACGGCGTATCCAGCAAAGCTACTCACCCTAATCAAATGAAGTCCAGGAAAACTTTCGCTAAACTTCTCGATCAATGGAGAGTTCAAATGAACTGGTGCATTAGGTGATATCACATACTTATTCGTTGAACAAATTGGAAAGATAACCGTCGCTTTGGCCCAGTACACCAAGTGAGCGGTTAATTCAAATACCTGCAAATGTTAACTGAATTACAATGCGAATTTGTACCATAAAAGCGTTTTGAATAATCAATATTCCGTTTCCAATGGAGTGGGATAGATTTTCGTTACGAGTGATTTTTTCCTTGAAATATTTTATAAAAATTTCTAAATGTAGATTGAAAATTGTGGAAGACTAACTTTGTCAATAACAGACAGGGTGAGTTTTTAGTGTTTAGCGTTATTACGAATAGAATCCAAACAAGTTAAATACAAAAATTGTACCCATCAATATGCTCCTGTTTTGGAAAATATTTTTATTTTTATAGAGTGATCCAAACATACATTTTTTGAATAGGAGGACCTGCATTTTATTGCTGATTCGGATAAACCGTTCCAAAAGAAGCAATTTGACATAACGTTCTTTTTTCAGATGGTTGAAATATTGAACAATCTATCGAAGAAAACACACTCAATTTTGACAACGTGCACCTCCGCAATGTTTACAGCTAGAGAACTGAATTTTTCGTCAGAAGAATTTTATGATCCCACATTTCCTCACTATCTATCCTCCGTGAATCCTAGAAATGACATCGAATTCGGAATCTACGCACCCGATTTACCTAGAGAATAAGCTTCCATCTTCTATTTTTGAATATTTTGAGGTTATGGGCCCAGTGACTTAACGAATATCAGATATGCACTTGTCCATCCTTAAATTTCTAATTATTCGATTTTCGTCAAGTTAATGATTTCTAGCAAATGATGTGCCTCGTCATGTGATTACATTTTCTGGTGGAATACGTCAATCACTTTCGATACTTACATGAGACAAAGTTAAATCAGCGTCCGCAGCGAGGGTCTGCAAATTTTTTAGCGGCGAATACTGCATCAACAGCCTAACCAGAGACGGCGATCCATCGAGCGACATAAAATCGTTCATCTGAGACAAAGGGTACAAAAGCAACAAACTGTGGTACGGCCTGAGGGCTTTTAAACACCTGAAAAGTGAATTGCGCACACTTTTAGAACCGGGTGATGTTTTTGTTGTTACGCAAAGCGATGGTCTAGAAGAAAGGGGACGTGTTACAATGTTACATGGAGGATTAAATTTTTAACGGTTAGGGACATAGATAGACCAATGGAATTAGACATGAAAAGCGTGCAATACGAAAAATAGGAATTCGTTAAGATGCTAGGATTTCCATTAGTCTATGAATGATCAGGCTAGGAGTGAGAATCTGATTCGCCTAAAAAATTACCTGTCTATATCCTCAGGTTCTACAATTCTTCCTCTCATATGCCACTGATGAACTTTTTGCGGAAGACAAAAGCTGAGAGGAATCCACTTATTGATCCTCAAATTTACTAATCCTAAAAATCATCAAATAACAATTGATCAACCTGAAAACAGTCAACCTAATACTATAAAAAAATATCCGAAATGAAGTGAGATACCATAGCGTTATCTATGAGAATTTATCACAGCTATCTCTGGCAATAATTAGGAATCTACTTTGAAAAGATTACTGTCTCATAGATGACGCTCTAGCTATCTATGATCACAGGGGTACAGAGCCATCTATAAGATACTAACCTTTTCAAAGTAGAGTCCTAATTTTTGTGGAGCAGAACATGCAACAGTTTCTGATTTCATCTTGGATAATGTTTTGGACGCACCGATGTAGTATTAGGTTTTATATCTTTAGGTAGAATAAGAATTTGCTAAATAATATTTATAGATCACTTGACTAGAATAAAAAGCAGTCAATACCAATTCTTAAATATTAATCAAACACATGAAATATATAATTCAAGACATTCAGTGAGCATATCATAAGCTATAAACACACACAGTTTCCCGGACCAAACTCAACTAGGGACTTCGAAACAGGGGTACCTTTACCCCTAGCAGGAAACAGTTTGGAAATTTAGAAAAACCTTTTTTTTTAATTATAAGAATTTGCGGACTTTGGTTATATGAACTTGTTATCTTGAAATTGCTAAAAAAATCGTCTGTTATATTTATGGTACATAATTAACACCCCGTAGATTGGAAGACTTTTACCTGTGGTGCAAAGGTCATCATACATTTTCTTAATATCATTAGCGACGGAACATTTTTCTAAAATGATCTGGAAAACTGAACTGGGTCCATTTGTATACCCGTCATCATGTACACTTGTCATTAGTTGAGTCTGCTCAGACACATAGCCGCATCGTCTTTCTTCATACCTCAACACTATGCCCATACGCTTGCTCAGATCATGATAACATTTGACTGCAAAAAAGGAGGAAATTGTGAAGTATACTCTAGGAAATAGGTACCTTTTTCTTGCAAAAAACTGATGTGAGATTCCTGATCTACACACCCCATTGTCTCATATGAAATAATAAATTTTCTGTGAATATTTCTTTGGCCTTTAGACCTTGAAGACTGAGAATTAATAAATACTGTTTAAGACAGACAAGATTGACTCATGATCACTGTTTTCTTGACATGAAGCTTTCATAATAAATAAAATAATTGTTACCTACAGCACTGAGTGCATATTTTTGAATAAAGTGTGCTTAATGAATGTTTTGCTATTATTGGAGCAAGGATATTAATCCGATTAATTACTGTTTAAAATATAGCGAACTTCCAACAAGACAAAAGTGTTCTACCATAACTCCTGTTTCGGAAGATGAGAATTCTGAGTTGTAGATCATTATGTGGCCAATAAATATTCTGCCAGATGTTCAAAAAGTCTTTGAAGAATTTATTTACGAACATATCAAATTTATCCGTACCCCAGAGCCACACTAGGTTAAGTCCATTTTTGTCAAAAATGAGTTTAGTATATTAAGCTTATGATAATTTTGTGAATTTTCATTTGCTACATCCAGCGTCCATCTATCTTTAATAATAAGAAAGTTACGACTTTTTAACTCATATCAAGTCGTATTCAATACAATGCAAGAAAAATATTTCATATATAATTATCTCAAAACTACTTATTTGGACTTAAACCTAGTCAGGCTCTGAGGTACAGATTTATTAATATAATTTTTACCAAATTTCAAGCTGGTTTCAGGAAGAAACAGGCAACTGAAACGGCAATACAAATGGTTCTAGATGGCTATAATTGGAACCATACAGTGACAGTGCTTTTGGACTTCAAAAAGGTGCGTTTGAAACTATTGGCATGGATAAATGACTTACAAAATTGCATCACTATGGATTTAAAGGATCTGTATACAAAATTCTAGAAAACTACCGAGTCTTGTAGAGTCTACATCCAGCATCGGAAATGGAAGGACCTCTGAAGAAGCTTGCCACTCGTGCTAGCGAAACGTTAGGAAGAAATTCCAACTGACGTCAAGTCAGCAGTTTAGAATCCTTCTTTCATTTTATGGTAAATTCAGCACGTACATATAAAGAAGTATCAAATGTTAAATGAACCTTTCTAGCGCTCTACCAGAACCCAAGATGGGAACAAAACTATGAAACAATGTCTTACCAACAGAGTGACTGGCCAGAGCATGTAGCGCGAAAACCATATTCACCAACATAATTCCCGAGACATCCTCATCATCTTTCGTATTCCTATACAGCAAAGTAGGGTGACTGACAAACCTAACGTCGTTCACTTTTAACTCAAACTTCCTGTTGCAGAGTTCCATTTTAACTGCAAACAGTGAAGACAGCACCTCGTCCGTATACCCCATAAGAGTTTCTTTGTTTATAGCAGTGTTTGTGGGAACAGTGCTTTGTAGAGTATCTTCGACTGTGGGTAACGTGTATGGGTTTTTTCTACTCTTATTTGAGGGCTCATTATTCTTTTGGGTTTGGAATGGGTATCTAAACAGCAATCTATCACCTTTACTATCGGATTTCACCAAAATTACGCTTAAAGGGCTTACTTCCATTGTGAGAGAAGTTCTATTATATTACAGTGGATTTATTGCAACTGCTAAATTGATAAATTATTATTTGTACATTTTATTTATTTAATTTGAAGATCTTATCCCTAACCTAAACAAAAACTTATCTGTCATCAGTCAGCTGATGACGACAGCTGACAAAAGCAATAGAGATGAGTTCAGAAGTTCGATATCGAATATCTTAAGTGCAGCCCTTTAATAAAGAACGAAAACGTACATATGTACAGTATATTCAGATAAGAGATAGACCGGATGTAAACAAAAGGTTCGGGTGATTTTCACGCTAACGCCGCCATCTCGACGTAAAACAGGAGCCCTCATTGGTCAATTCGCAATTAAATGCCTATGCCGAGCGGCAGAGCAGTCGTATCAAGGCAGAGTCACATTCAGGTTCAGACGTGTTACGTATGTCGTGTGCATCATTGCAATTTGATATTTCTTTGGACGTTTTCGTTTGTTATCTTATTAAGTTGTTGAGTTTGTCGTTGTTATTGTTATACCTTGTTATAATTATAGACTAATTTAAACGCCATTTTGAGATTATATTCGACTGTATTTCACCAAACATCAGACGACATCCGAAGCTGGAAATCGAAGCGAAAATTTTGAAACCCTTATGTATATTTACATCATTATACAGGGTGACTTTGAAGTTGAGTCATTAATTTTCAGATAATGATTGTAGAAGGAAGATAAACCAAAATATGTGTGTAAAAATAAAAAAAAAATGAAAAAAATTTGTTACCTTGTTTTATAAAGTATCCTCCCGACAAGTATTTCAGTGCGGACCTGTATTTGATCGTGAGGTCCCCTGTGAGGTCTTAAGTCACCTGATTCACGAGCCCGTTGTACTACATTAACAAAGGCACGAGGGGTTGGTTGCACTCGATTGGGAAACCGATCCGCATAAACATGTGCCATTTTTTATTTCGTTTTAGCCACGCAACAGACACTATTCACACGCGACTGACACTAACTGTATGTATAACTGAACTGAATAAAATAAACATCGTTCCAAATTCTTTCGCTTTTTTGTTTCCGATGCGATGAACCGATAAGGTGGATTATATCCGTTGTTGCCAAACACGAGTACATGATATTATTGATACAGGGCGGTACTCAAACTTCCAAAGGGCTATAACTTTGTTACTTTAATTTTACCAGAAAAATGGTAAAGGAAAAAAACATTTCTTTTGATCAGATCTACTCACTGTTAAAATAAATGACTCAACTTCGAAGTCACCCTGTATATTTCTTACCCCACCCCCACATGATCCTATATCCATCACCAATCGTATACACATCGCATTGTGCTAATTTACTACAAAGTTACGCAAAGCAGCATCTACTATCTAAAATATGTACTGCGTGACTCTTAATACGTCCCTGCCGAATGTTACAGCGTTCGATGATCACGTGGTCTTGTTTATGTCCGGTCTATCTCCTATCTGAATATACTGTAGTTGATTGCAATCAGTGATGCCAGTGGAGATTTAATTATTTTACTAGATTATGCCTGATTTTTTTGATTGGAGGTTGGCGACATTGCGGATACAAATTGTGAAATTTGAAAAATTATGAATTAAATATTGAATAGTTTGTTTCTGTCTGCTCTAGATTGAAGAATAAGTACAATACGGGAAGTTTTGCTGTTAACATTTTTGCATTACAGTTGTTCTGTAGGAAGATATAATTTTATTTATCCTAAATAAGAAAAACATTGGTATAACAAACCTAAAAAACAGATTGCTTGCTTGCAGTCAATAATGATTTGCTATAACTGACAATACTGCTCCGTACTGAGCTCCCCACTTCTCGTTACGTAACGAGCAAGTATTTATAGTACAGTCAAAAAAGGTCTAACGTATACATGTAACTCCAATTATAAATTTTGCAATATTCTTACATTTGGATATATGCAACCTCAATCAAATCTCACTTTTCTGGATAAATATAAATTTTGTGTATGCTTTTTACTGTCACTTTTTTGGTTCATATTAGCATATATACAAAAGGACGAATGACATAAGATAAGATATTTTACTGTGATTGCGGTGAAGTAGTGGTATGTGGGAAGTATTTTGATTCGAATACCTACCTATTCATAATAATGTATCTTCCGTTACTAACTTTTGAGGAGAATGGATTAAATTAGTATACATACAAAGCATCGGCTGCCATAACAACACTTTTTTCATATTGCTAATATGTTGTACGTTGCGCAGGTAGTTATGGCTGGCCTAATGATATTATTTATAGTAAATTATAAATTATCAAGTGCTTATGCCCGTATCGTCAGTCCTCTCTACAATTGTAGGGCGCGTTTATGGCCTCCTTGATTGTCATAGTTTTCTACTTCTCCGTGTCAGCGCTCTATTTTGAGGTTATGTCACAAACATCTATTTGCATCAAATTGTGCTTGCTTTTGAGTTATATCATGTTTTAACAGTCTGAAATTTCCTACAATTTAAAAAGAAAACATATCTTCACAATAGGAGAGCGCTGACGCTGACACGGGACAAGTGTAATCTAGAAATTTTTGAAGGGGAGAAAGCACTATGACAATCAAGGAGCCCTTAAACGCGCCCTACAATTGTAGTGACGACTGACGATACGGGCCTTACAGTTGTTTCATTATAATGTCCTGTTGCAATGCAAGACTAGTTGAGAAATATATTGAGCTCCATTTCATAATTAAGGAAAAAGATTAAATAACTGATAACTCTGAAAGTACTATCACGATTTTGATGAAATTTTGACCCTAGGTTACTACTATGAAAATGACAAAAAAGCTCTGCAGGTTTTGAAAATCGGTACAGTGGCGGCGGAGCTATCGTCGGAAAACAAACAAAAAACGGTCAAACTTGGCTTTTCGACATTTTTGAGGCTTCTGACAGACTTAAGATTTGGTCGATGAGGACAGATCTGAAATTATTGTTTCATCGTTTATTTTGTATAATTTGTCCTTCAGTTATAACGTTGGAATCCTCCGTCTTAGGCGTAAGAGTAGACCAGACTCGCGATTTCTCGTTACGTAACGAGCAAGTATTTATAGTACAGTTAATAAGGTCCAATCTATATAAATATTTTTGGATATCTAGAAATTCCACTTAAACTTGCTTTCTGGATAAATCGAATGCGTACATTTAACTGTTACTTTTTTGTTTGTTTGAATTGTACTATGAAGTACTAAAACATTCTGAAAGACAAAAGAAATACTTTTTTAATTGTAATACATATTTTACTGAAAATTAATATAAAATTATTTACATAAAATAAACTGAAATCACATTTAAGCCAGTTTCTGCACTTCCGACAAAAAATGACAAATCTATTTCTAAAAACTGCAAGAAAAACGTATCTATTATCTATTCAAATCTCATTTACTCCTCGTCAAAATAAAAATCAGGACTTCTTTTCGCTTGTCGCTGCCTGTCCAAGCATTTATGGACGAACCAATCGGAGCGCGCGAATTTGAACGCCGTGCGATGGTGTTTGTTTTGACGGGGCATAAATAAGAGTTGAATATCTTATATTTTATATTTATATAAAAGCTATTTCCTGTCAGAAGTGTAAGAAACTCATCTAAAACTACGTAAACATATAAATATTAGAACACCTGTTCCATATATGATATCACAATACGCTTATTTCCAAACTTTGATCACTCCGTCTCTTGACGAAGTGACCAAAAAGCATTGGGATGCTTTGCAAAGCACGATGTCCGAAATCGTGTCTCGATGGCCCGCCGCGGGTGGTTCTGGACCGGGCCGAGGTACCTCCTCGCCTTTTTCCAACTTTCTTACTTTGCCTGGTTCTTCGTACATCACATGGGTACCTGGAAAAGTATGAACACGACTTAACATCTACCATTATCTAATCCAAAAATACGTCATAAAAAACAAACAAAGCTCGTCACTATTTGAAATGCAATCGAAGTAGAATACAAACTAAAAAATGAAATTTATCTTTGCTAGCTTTCGACTGTTCTGGATCACTGAGCATCGATGAAGATCAAGCTTGATGAGAATCCCGTACCAAGAGTATTTACTTTCTTCATTCAACTGGATCTTTGTGTTTATTGGCCCAAGATAAAAAAATACATACCGTCAATAAGTCGACTCTCGTAATTCAACGTGGTCCCAATGGGATCGCTAGCAGCTGGTATGGCCAAAAACGATTCAGAAGGACTGTCCAGATCCCAAAACCTCAATCTCTGGTCCGTCCCTCCTGCCAGCAAGAAAGGAGATCTATCCACGCACACGCCTAGCATCGCACATACAGTATTTAATGATCCCTGTGACAAAATTTTGATTTTGTAATAGGTAAGGAAGGTTGAGAATGTAACAACAAATGGTAGTGCAAACATTTTATTTTTACAAGAAGTTAATGTTAATGTATCCTTTTTTTAGCTGCGACAAAGAAAAAAGTTTACTTGAAAATTTCTCTGATCTTAAAATGCCCCTGAAGGTCATGGTCAGACTCATGGTCAAGGATATACTTGAATTTAAAATTGCCTACAATGTGTATTCCAAGAATTACTAATAGATGTTTCTTTTTAAAAATGCATTTGATCTTCAAATGACCTTGATGGTCATAATCAAGGTCATGGACAAACTTGCTCTATTTATTTCCGATGTCAAAAATAGGGGGTTCCATTTAAAAAAACTGTCTAGGCCTTCAAATGAGCTGAAGGTCATAGTCAAGGTCACGTTCAAGGTCATATTTAGATAGATCTTCCAACTTTAATACACAGTATGTTTACGTAACGTATTTTTAGAGAAATTTTGTCTTTTCCGTTCTTTCTGAACACCTTCAAATAACCATCAAGATCAAGGTCAGGTTCATGGTAAAATACATGCTTTAACTTAAAATTCCATGCTTTTTATTATAAGTCTTATAAGGAAGGTTAAGAATGTAAGAACAAAAGGTACTGCAAACATTGTATTTCTACAATAAATTAATTTTAGTGTTTCATTTTTTATATCTGCGACACAGAGAGAGGAGTAAAAATCTTCAAATGTCCTTGATGGTCATAATCAAGATCATGGACATACTTGTTCTATTTATTTCCGATGTCAAAAATAGGGGGTTCCATTTAAGAAAACTGTCTATGCCTTCAAATGAGCTGAAGGTCATAGTCAAGGTCACGTTCAAGGCCATATATTTAGATAGATCTTCCAACTTTAATGCACAGTATGTTTACGTAACGTATTTTTCGAGAAATTTTGTCTTTTCCGTTCTTTCTGAACACCTTCCAATAACCATGAAGATCAAGGTCAGGTTCATGGTAAAATACATGCTTCAACTTAAAATTCCATGCTTTTTATTACAAGTCTTATAAGTTAAGAAGGTTAACAATGTAACAACAAATGGTAGAGCACACATTGTATTTCTAAAATAAATCAATTTTAATGTTTCATTTTCATCTGTGACGAGTAAGGACATTACTTTAAAATGTATCTGATCTTGAAATGACCTTGAAGGTCGTGTCCAGTCTCATCGACAAGGATATACTTGAATTCAAAATTGCCTGCAATTTGTATTCCCAGAATTACTAATAGATTGTTTCTTTTTAAAAATGCATTTGTTCTTCAAATAACCTTGATGGTCATAATCAAGGTCATGGACATACTTGCTCTATTTATTTCCGATGTCAAAAATAGGGGGTTCCATTTAAGAAAACTGTCTAGGCCTTCAAATGAGCTGAAGGTTATAGTCAAGGTCACGTTCAAGGTCATATTTAGATAGATCTTCCAACTTGATTACACAGTATGTTTACGTAACGTATTTTTCGAGAAATTTTGTCTTTTCCGTCCTTTCTGAACACCTTCAAATAACCATAAAGATCAAGGTCAGGTTCATGGTAAAATACATGCTTCAACTTAAAATTCCATGCTTATTATTATAAGTCTTATAAGGAAGGTTAAGAATGTAAGAACAAAAGGTAGTGCAACATTATATTTCTGCAATAAATTAATTTTAGTGTTTCATTTTTTATAAACTTGAAAATTTATCTGATCTTCAAATGTCCTTGATGGTCATAATCAAGATCATGGACATACTTGCTCTATTTATTTCCGATGTCAAAAATAGGGGGTTCCATTTAACAAAACTGTGTAGGCCTTCAAATGAGCTGAAGGTTATATTCAAGGTCACGTTCAAGGTCATATTTAGATTGATCTTCCAATTTTATTACACAGTATGTTTATGTAACGTATTTTTCGAGACATTTTTTCTTTTCCGTTCTTTCCGAATACCTTCAAATAACCATGAAGATGTGTTGAAAAACTTACATGTGTTTTTGAAAGAGGTGGTGCAGTGCTGCCCCAGAGAACCTTCTGCCGAAAACCAGTCTCCAAATTCCACATGGAAATCTCATTGTTTCCATGGATACTCGAAACTACCCACGAATGCTCTGTTGGGTGACTGACCACTTTTTTTATTCTTACTGTGCCTGAAATTGAAAAATACAATGATTTATTGCACTTGGTATTTGAGAGAAGATCCTTAAGAAAATAAAAATGCTGTTATTGAAAATGATGATGAACATAATTTTTGATTAATTCGTTAACTCACCTGAGATGGGTTCGATAGTGGTGATTGGCAACTGGAACCTCAAATCCCACGCTACGTGCACACCGTTGCTAGTCCCTAACGTCAGCCAACTATGATGTGAATCGAGGCAGAACGTCGAAATTACTCCGTTTTTCAGACTGTTTTCCAATCGGAAAGCAGTCCCTGGTGCTCTAAGATCCCAACCAACAATTGCACCATGAAGGGTTGCGTATACCAAAATGCTGCGAGATCCTGAATCCATACACTGAACATCTACTGGAAAGCCATCCTCGTCTGGATTCAGCTGTCTGGATTGAGCTAACGTCATCCTAAAAAAAAAGTAAATTGCATACCCTGGAGGAAAAGTACACCATTCTTGGTCGAGCACTTTTACAGTGAGCAAAATCAATAATGGTCTTCTCAATGTTAATGAGAAGAAATGTATGGTATTTAAATGTTCCCATGATTTTATAAATTTAAATAATGAATTGATACATAAAACAGACATCATAAATTAGATTGTAGAGCGACTGATTCAACGAATAATAACGCACCCTTGAGTTACCCTCAAATTGAGACTCAACATTTTCACTCTACAGATACTTGTAACAGATTTTCAAATTTTCGAAATTTTCAATATGGGTATTCAAAATTTTCACAATTTTCAAATTTTGAAAATTTTAAATTTTCTGTTAATTTTGAAAGATATGTACTTGTAACAGATTTTTCGAAATTTTCAACATTTTCAAAATTCTGAAAACTGTTGAAATTGTTAAAATTTTGAAAATTTTAAAATATAAATAATTTTCGAAGTATTGGAAAAAATATTGAAAATATTGACGATACTGAAACTATTGAAAATATCGAACATATTGAAAATGTAGAAAATTTTGAAAAATGAAAATTTTGATGATTATTTTGACGATTTTTTACTATTTTGAATATCCTGATAATTTTGGAAATTTCTAATACATATATTGAAAATTTACACAATTTTTAAATTTTGAAAATATTGAAAATTTTAAAAACTGAAAATTCTGAAAATTTTCTATATTTTGAATATTTTGAGATCTTTGAAAATGTTGAAAATTTTGAATATTTGATATGTAATTTGAAACGGATTTCCATATTTTCACAATTTCAACAATTTTCAGAATTTTGAAAATGTTGAAAATTTTGAATATTTTGATAATTTAAAAAATTTTGATGGTATTAAAAATTATGAAGTTTTTGAACATTCCTGAAATTTTTAAAATTTGGAAAATAATGAAAATATTTAAAATTTTGAAAACTGATTTTTTTTTAATTCTATTCTTGAAAATTCAGGGGTTTTGAATATTCTGATACTTTTGAAAATTTTTAGTATATTGAAAATTTCCAAATTTTAAAATAACTGAAAAAACTGAAAATTTTGAGAAGCTTAAAGGTGTTGAAAATTCTAAACATTTTGAAAATTTTGAATTTTTTGATAATTTTGAAGATTTTGAAAATTCTGAAAATTATTAAACTACTGAATATTCTGATAATTCTGAAAACTTTAAAAATTTTGAAAATCGCGAGAATTCTGAAAGTTTTGAATATTGTGATAGTTCTGAAGATTCTGAAAATGTCGATTTTTCCGATAATTCAGATTTCCTAATTTTTCAATTAATTTTTTTTTTAATTTTCAAGATTATCAAAATATTCAAAATTTTAAACATCATCAAAATTATTGGAATAATCAAAATTTTCAGCAACTTCAAAACTATCACAATATTCAAAATTTTCAGAATTCTCACGATTTTCAAAATTTTTAAAGTTTTCAAAATTATCAGAATATTCAATAGTTTAAAAATTTTCAGAATTTTCAAAATCTCCAAAATTATCAAAAAAATCAAAATTTTAAAAATGTTCCAATATACTAAAAATTTTCAAAAGTATCAGAATATCCAAAACCACAGAATTTGAAGAACAGAATTAAAAAAAATTCAGTTTTCAAAATTTTAAATAGTTTAAATATTTTTAAAATTTTTTAAATTATCAAAATATTCCAAATCTTCAAAATTCTGAAAACTGTTGAAATTGTGAAAATTTGGAAATCTGTTACAAGTATCTTTCAAATTACATATCAAAATTTTCAACATTTTCAAAGTTCTCAAAATATTCAAAATTTACAAAATTTTCAGATTTTAAAATGTTCAATATTTTCAAAATTTATAAAATTCTGTATGTATTAGAACTTTTCAAAATTATCAGATTATTCAAAATATTAAAAAATCATCCTCATAATTATAAAAATGTTCTACATTTTCAATTGTTCGATATTTTCATTAGTTTCAGTATCTTAAATATTTTCGATATTTCCAAAACTATTTATATCTTAGAATTTACAAAATTTTAACAATTTCAACAGTTTTCAGAATTTTGAAAATGTTGAAAATTTCGAAAAACCCGTTACAAGTACATGTCTTTCAAAATTATCAGAAAATTCAAAATTTTCAATATTTTCAAAGTTGTGAAAATTTTGAATACCCATATTGAAAATTTCGAAAATTTTAAAATCTGTTACAAGTATCTGTAGAGTGCAAATGTTGAATCTCTATTTGAGGATAACACAAGGGTACGTCATTATTCGTTGAATATCCAAGAGATGACCAATCCTCTATCGGCACTTAAGGCTACTATAAACGTGTGCCTTAGTTGGTAATCCATCTCCCCAATAAAAAAAAACAGATGAGCGAAACGTAACCGGGTGTGTTTCTCGAATCTGAAATCTTTGGAATCTTTGACACCATGAAGGAATCTATAGGAGTTGATACTCAATTCTCAAATTCAAGCAATTTACGTTGAATTTACTACATGAAAGCTGTTCACTGAAGGCACTCTAAGTATGTACTTCCTCAACTTTTAGTTACAAATATTTCAGGAAACATAGTAACGCCTTCTACAGCATCTGCTTTTGGTATATGATATAAATCCAACCTTATCAACGCAAAATATACTGTTTTCATTTAGCGACTTGTTAGCTAAAAACCTTCTTTTCGCTTGTTCCAGACTATCCACACCCGCGTTTCGATCAGGTCTAGACCGAAAGGTGGTATCGTCTGCAAATAGGATCCTTTATCAATACTCGAGAGCAGGGCCAAGTACCGATCCTTGCGGTACCCCGTTGCACATTTCTTATGCCATAGTAATCTAGTTTTTTCAATGGTATGTGTGAATTGACGTTAGGTCACGCATTGTAAGTACAGTATTTAAAATTAAATTCAACATTTATCAAAATCCGATATGAGCTTGCCACTCTTCTTACCTGCTACTCGCCGAATCAATCCTGAGAATGTTAACCGAACCGTCCTGGCATCCAAACCCTAGCGACTGCCCGCTCTCGCAAACCGCCATTCCGGTTATTGTAACCCCGGATCCAACTCTGTAATGCTGTTTGGCTCTATTTGCAATGTTTTTCCCTTCCATCCTCGCACAGTCCCACAATCGTATGGTTCCGTCCGCGGATGAGCTTGCAAATAGAGGTGTGTCAGGCAACGCGCAGAGTCGGTTGACAGCGCCTTTATGTTCGTGGAGGTGGGCCACTAGGGTGCCCCTGAGCCTCCAACCAGGAGGGGGAAGTTGGGGCCTCCAAGCTGCTTGTTCTGCCCACTCTTTGCTCCTGCAAAACAAAAAGGGGTTTTCATATTTGTTTCAGATTCCTAAGTTTCTTACCTTAAGGCTTCAAAATAATGTTCCTGCTGCCTAGTCTTCAAATTAGCAAGTTCAATGTAACAGCTGGACCTCCGATACTGAATGTACGACCTTTCGTGCAGACTGACGTTAGACGAAGGATCGTTGCTGATGAACTGATTGTGGTTCTCAGGCGGTGGTGAAGACGGTCTACTCGAAGTAGACCTGGAAGATGGACCGCCAGAATTCGAACATTCAGATTGTCGGTTCAATACCTCCGACGAACTGTAGTTCCAGTCTGAGTTAATGTTCGTGTCTATCGACGCTGACGTGTTGGTTCTGTGCAAAATTCTGGAAACAAGTACACGTTATGGAATGGACATATCCGGTATATTAAAAAAAACTTAGATTTCCAACTTGTTACACAGCTAGGGAAACAATGAATCTTTTTATACATAAATGATTTACCTGCCATAGTCAAAAAATGCAAAATTCAGATTTTCGCCGATGACACTATGATTTATATAAGTACTAAAAATATTCAGTCTGGTATCTCTTATATAAATGAAGACTTGAAGCTTGTCTCAAAATGGTTAGCATCTAACAGACTAAAATTAAATGCAAGTAAAACGAAAGCCCTGTTAATCGGAAAAAAGCAATGTACAAATGTTCAACTGAATATTGATGGTGAAGATATTGAATTCGTAGAAAATTGTAAATACCTGGGGGTTTGTTGTTGACTCTCGATTAATTTTTGATATTCATTATGAAAAAGTTATAAATAAGATTAGTAGTAAAGTGGGATATTTATCGAGAGTGTCTGGATGTCTGAGTTCATATAGCAGAAAAATTATCTATAATACCATCATTCTTCCAAATTTCTTGTACTGTTCGACTATTCTATATTTAGCAAATAATTCCGTTTTTGAAAGACTGCAAATTTTACAAAATAAGTGCATGAGAATAATACTAAATAAAGATAAATATACTCCAATTAGGCAAATGCTTAGCAAATTAAAATGGCTCAATGTAAAAAAATTTATCAAATATCTTGTAATGATATTCATTTATAAAGTAAAAAATAATATATTTCCATCAAGTCTAACTAATTTAACATCATCAAATGTCGACCATCATTTAAATAATACCAGAAATAAAGATGACTTCCATTTAATGACCAAAAAGTATAACATATGCTACAAATCTGTATTCCATCAAGGGTTGATTGAATATAATAAATTATACTCGGAGATAAAAGACCAGAAAACTTTGACAAAATTTAAAGTAAAATTGAGAAATCACTTGTTAAATCTACAATTATAGGTTGCCCAGCATTTACATCATACACCATATGGCTTGAATTTACTAGTTCTAAGTTGTTTACAATTATTCTGTTTATGTAGTCAAATGTGCTAAATAAATATTTCTACTACTACCAAGTTTCAATAAAAGATTAAGACAGAGAAAATGGACGTATGCTATTTCATTTCACAAATAACCAAGTTACAAACCAGTCAGTTACATGTCGGCCACCCTGCATAATTTCAGATATTACAGACAAATTTTCAATGAAACACAATTAAAAATTTTATATAAGAAATTATTCATAAAAACAAAGCATAGCAATATTTATTATATACCGCCAAATCGCTGTTTAAAGAATGAAAACATTTTAATAGAAAAAATGATTTTGTTATAATGTTATATTAGAATTCCATAAAAACAAACATTCGATTATTCATAAAAATTACGAAGATTGTAGAAATAAGAATAAACAAATAATTATTGCAACACCAAAAAAATTATGCTTAAATCATTTATATACCTCAGACTAAAAGAACACGCATTTATAATGTTAAACACACATCCTTTGTAGTAAATTGTATAATTTTCTGAAAATGTAAAATCTACTCGTTTTTACCTATTTGGCATGAAATCCCCCTTTTGTACTTCACTCAAGTGCAAAATATGGCTCTTCAAAGGACTAGTCACTGAAATCAGTTCGATTCTACCTTCATTTTGCTTGTTCTGTCTCGCTTCTGCATTCATCTTGTGAATGTTGATCTTCTTCAAATGATGGCCCATCTTCAAAATGTACTCTTCGATATTCTCGTTCATTCCGTTTGCTTCCAGCCTTCTCAGCAACTAAAAAACATAAGGAAATAGATGTCAATAGATGTGACTTTGTATGTGATTGACTTGGATACATTAAGATATTGTTGCGTGTTTAAAAATTTGAGGACTTACATTCTTTAGGCTTGTTTGAGTTTCTCTGTAAAAATCGGTACTCGGTACCTTCCCAGCACTGACACAATCTCGTACATTTTTTCTTTCTCTTAAAACCTCTAAAATTATATCGATATCCATATGGTTTACGATGCTGTCATAAACAGTCCTTGGAATGGGATTCACGAGAGAATCTAGGAGTAGCTCTGGTCTGAAAACAAAAAAAACTGCTAGTGAAGATCAAGCTGAATATGGAATCACATGCCATCTATTTCAACTTACTTGTCTATCTGAATTAATTGATGTTTCATGTATGGCTTCAAAGCTGGTATAATCTTGCACTGAACATCCAAAATCGAGGTTATTTTCGATGCCGAGGCTACAAATCCCGCGACAGCTTGTCTGATCCACAAATTTGGATGCACTAAAAAGTAAGAACACTCTGTGACCAGCTCACAGAGAGCAGGTTTTGTGATCAGGCCCAGCTCGGTCAGTGCTGCCATCGAATTTATGCTTTTTGCAATAACAAACTCTGAACTATCGGTCAATCCCTGGAAAAAAGGATACTGAAATAGCACGGAAAAATAATAAACAGGAATTTATAACAATGGTTTTATTCATTACTACAATACTCCTTCATCTTGATGATATAAGCATGATAAAGCACTATGCCGCTTTACCAAAATTGTAAGTAGTAGTAGACATATTTATTTGGATCATTTGGCTACATAAACAAGATAGTTATAAACAACTTGAGAATAATCCTTATCTATAAAGAAAATTTGACTTACCTGTAGTAGGAGAGGAGTCAAAATGCTAGAACAGTGCCAACCAATGAAAACTGCTACCCCAACAATGCAGTCAAAAAATGAACCTCTTAATTCTTTGTCTTCTTTGTCATTGAGAAACGTGATCATATGACTCAGTAGCACGTCATTTGCTGAAAAGTATCAATAATTTTTTTTTTTTTATATATCGAAACAGCCGCGCAGGCAGAAGCCTAAATGCCGGAACACCGCGGCTGCTATGATGATCCCAAAGAAATTTTGTTAATACGATTCTTGAACTGCCTAAGATTAGTAGAACTGGGAAAAGCTTCCTCCCGTAGATTGTTCCACAATCTAGACACCCTCGGGACAAAGGAGCGGTCGTATCGGCCAGTTCTGGATGTACGAAGTGTGACACGGTTAGGATGGGACGCCGAAGTCAGGCGGGTCTGTCTGGCAGGCACATCGCGCGGCGGCATCATGGAAGAGAGCTCTGAGGAGCAAAGCCCGTTGGTGTAGCGATAGAAAAGAGCTAGATCGCCGACGGCCCGCCGGTGCGAAAGAGTCCCGAGACTGTCTGTTAGAGAAGAGTCATCGATCAGTCGGACCGCCCTCCTCTGGACAGCATCGAGCATGGACAATGTAGTCGGGGCGGTAGCACCCCAAATGTGTGAGCAATACTCGAGGCTAGGCCTTATCTGGGCCTTGTATAGAGTGAGAAGGTCATGCGGAGAAAAGTACTTCTTAGCCCTAAACAAATAGCCTAGCTTTTTCCCAGCAGCTGCAGCTATTGAAGAGATGTGTTCGTGCCAGATCAGGTCCTCGGTGATCTGGACTCCGACCAGCCGAAATGAATGGCTCTTTGGTAGAACTCGACCGTCCATCGAAACTGTATGAGCGCTAGGACGCTTTTTGTTCGTCAAAGTACAGTACTGTGTTTTGGAAGCATTGAACTGTACAAGATTGTTGCGTCCCCAAGCAGTGATAGCCTCCAGGTCTCTTGTCAGAGAAGAAGTCGTCGCTAGTCTTCTTTTTTCCAGCTCAGCGGCAGAGATCGGCTTGTCACTCTGAATTCCTGCATGTAGAGTGCTGTCATCAGCGAAGCTGTGGATTGGGTTGATCGTGCAGGAAAGGAGGTCGTTGATATGTAAGAGAAACAGTGTTGGAGCCAAGACCGATCCCTGGGGAACACCCGCGTTGACGTTGTGGGATGAAGAGGAGAATCCGTCAATTACGACGGATATCTTGCGGCCAGAGATAAAGTCAGCCACCCATCTGCAAAGCTTTTCTGGGAGGCCGTAGTACTCTCTTCCTATATGATCAGTTCAATACTTTACAAACCGTGAACTAACATTACATCACTGGGCCCATAACCTCATGCTATTAAAAAAGGGAAAAATCGTGTTTTAACTAACCTTTAGTTTTTCCAAAAAAGACGCACAGTTTTGTTATGCCATTCTCAAGCAAAGTCTGCTTTACAATGGGTTGTGTATCCGTTAATAAAGCACTGACAGTTTGAGAAATCATTTCATGAAGAGCCTGAAGTTCAAGTTCATAGTTAAATGTATGCTCTTCTTTTTGCTTATTGTTTGTGATGTTGTTGTCGTACCAGTCATTTTGAACTTGATCTAGATATCTGGAATATTGTGAAAAGGCAAAATTTAGCCTCAATAGAGAGTTCGAAAAGTTTCAGATATTGCTATTAGTTAACATATTTATTCCAACAGAAAAATATAATTAAGCAATGTGCTGACCTTAAAGCAATTTCTGCTAATGTAGCTATATTCTTAGCATAAGCAGCTCTTACACACGCATTTGGGTCTGTAGCTAAAGGAGCTAGTTCTGGAAGGATATATTCTGGAAAAATGTTGGCATCAGATCTCGGAATTTTTGACACGAGGTCCAAGCATTTCGCAATCGTATTGATAGCAGAGATCTTTACTCTGGTTGAACTGTCATGTGCTAAATACATCTGAAACAAAAATAAGAAATATTTTTTCTTCTTTGAAAGATAAAAAGAGCTTTGGCATAGATGGGATTTCATCGCGTTTATTGAAAAGTATGCATGGGCACATGTTATTTCTACTAACTAGGTTAGTTAACTTACGACTTCCACTAGCAAATTCCCAGATCTTTCAAAAATAGCTGAAGTTTGTCCATTTCATAAGATGGGGGACTCTCATGTTATCGATAATTATCGACAAGTTTCTCTTTTACTCAACTATCAAAAATATTCACAACATGGTCTCAGAAAAAATAAATCTGTTGAGTTGGTCTCTTATCAACTTTTCAATTTTGTCGATGAACATTTAGACGATAATCAATATGTAGTAACTATGGGCTTGTCCAAAACGTAAGCAGGAAAGTAAACGCATATTAAAACAAGAAAGAATGATATTCAAATCAAGTTGGGTACTTTATTTTGAAGGTTCATTTATACCATTTATGTATGAAAAATAATATCGCTCAAATGTTCACCACGACTGGATTTACAGACGTCCACGCGATGGTCGAAATTTTCAATGACATTTTGCAACATGGCCGGTTCTATGGCATTTATCTCGGCAATGATGTTGTTTTTGAGTTCTTGGAGGGTGGCTGGTTTGTTGACGTAGACTTTGCTTTTCAAATATCCCCATAAAAAGAAGTCCAAGGGAGTCAAATCGCATGATCTTGGTAGCCATGGAACATTTCCTCTGCGCGAAATCACGCGATCACCGAAGGACTGCAATCGATGGATATTGACGTTGGTTGTGTGGCATGTTGCACCGTCTTGTTGGAAATAAACATCGTCCATATCCATTCCTTCAAGTTGCGGCAAAAAATAGTCCTCTATCACGTGATATCGCTCAGAATTGACGGTAACGGCGTCCCCGGCCGCATTTTCGAAAAAGTAAGGTCCGATGATGCCTTTTGACCACAATGCACACCACACAGTCACTTTTTGAGGATGCATCGGCTGCTCTTGATACTCACGGGGATTTTCGTTCGCCCAGATGCGGCAGTTTTGCTTATTTACCGTCCCATTCAAAGTGAAATGCGCTTCGTCGCTGAACATGATTTTTGATGAAAAATTGGCATCAATTTGGCGGTGTTCAAGGAGCCAATCTGAGAACGTTCGGCCCGAAAAATGGTCGGCCCGATGCAGCTCTTGCGTCAATTGGATCTTGTAGGCGTGTACATTCAAATCCTTGTGGAGAATGCGGAGAAAACTGGTTCTCGAAATGCCCAATTCTTGGGATCGACGCGTTGTTGATTGTCTCGGATCGTCTCTCACACTCTCCTTCACAACAGCAATATTTTCCGGTGTGCGAACGCTCCTTGGCCGGCCAGAGCCTGGCAGATTTGCCACAGGACCTGTTGCCTCGAATTTACGCACCAGACGACCGATGGTTGTTTCGTTTGGGCGGTTGTTGCGACCGAAATGTTCACGAAGCGCGCGAAACGTGTTTTGTATTTTTGCACCATTCTTGTAGTGCTCTTGAATAACTTTAATGCGGTCTTCAATCGAATACGACTCCATAGCGATCAATGGTGAATATTCAATTACAAAATGACATGTCGGTGACAGAAAACAAAGATGGCGTCTATGTCAAATTGACGTTTACTTTACTGCGTCCCTATTGGACAACCCTGTATAATGTTTGATGCAGAAAAAGCATTTGATCACAATAAGCTTCAGAAAACTTCATCAGCTGGGCATAAGAGGATTACTATTTGACTGGTTCACATCCTACTTTGAACAATGATATCTAAATGTTAAAATACAAAATACAGAATCTGTAAACATTTCCTGCATCTTTGGGCGTCCCTCAGCGAACAGTACTGGGACCATTAATTTTTATTCTTTTTGTGAATGAGCTGTTTGCAGATGATACATCTGTAATAAAGTATGGGGTATCCACAGAAGAGATTAATGGGAAAATAATCAGCATTATGTCTGAGATGGAGTCTTAGTAACCAAATAAACTAATATTAAATAGGGATCAAACATTTATATTTTTTTTTTTTTATTAGAAAGCTACCACCAGTCCATATTTTTAATGACAGTGGGATATACTTTCAATCCAGTGTAAAGCTATTAGGTACTTTTTTTTAGACTCCGATCTCAAGTTCAGCAGTCTCATAAATCATGTCTGCAAAAAACTAAACAAGATGTATTTTGCTATTTTAAAAATCGAACCCTTCCTAAGCAAGGATGCTCTTTTGAACCTTTTGTTTGTAACCATTTGTCATTTAATATTGCCACTTGGGGAGGGGAGGATATTTTTAGCTCCAAAGAAATTATACTCAGTGATATTAGGAGTGTTACACCCAGAAAAAAGTTATGTCTTCAACTTGATTTTTGGCAATGAGGTAGTCTCACATCAAGAATGAAACAATAACATTATCATGAAATATTTTATTGACAAAAAATAAGAAAAAAATTACCCTGCAGCGGAATACACTCCTGTATTCATCTAGACATCAACAAAATGAAATGATCAATGTCTGGTTGTGGCACCTCATTCATATTATTATATTAGGCTGAAGATTCACCTCTTTTAATGAGAAATAAAAAGTATTTGAAACCAAATATGCTACTACTATTTTTAATTGAATATTGGCAAGCATAATGTGTAGTTTTATACTCACAATGTACGGCAAAATTCTGTCTAGCACAGTTTCATCACTAGCGTGCGATGCTAGCTCCAGTAGAATCTCCAAGCTATACAATTTTGAAGAACAGTCATGTAAACCTCTGATACATGAAGTAACCAGCGATGTTATCAGAACCAGACCCTCACACTCCCCTTTATCGTCTTTCTCTAAATCTTGCTTTTCACCTTCAACATCATCAGTAGACTTCGTCATGGGTCCCAAGAATTTAAACACATTCCCGATATCGCTTTTCAATCGCATGATCTTCTCATCTACCGTTAGTATAGGCGTTGACGAGAAAATGAGCATGTACGACTGTAAGAAAGTGTAGAAATATTCTGGAAATAATGTTCCGCGATACAGTGCAAGATAGTCCTCGGCCGACATTCGTTTCGAAGGATCCTTTTCGATCATGCTCGAGATGAGGGACTTCAAATTTGGATCATCTAATTTATCCAAGTGTTTTTGAGGTGAATACTTGCCGGAGCAGTAAGCCAAAAGCTGGGAGTACTCGAAGGGAACGTGCAGCTCATTCCAAAGCTCTAGCAGTGCACAGCCTGCAGAAAATATATCCATCGCAGGGGTAAGTTCATTGGAGTTGCAAGACGTTTCTGTTATCAGAGATTCTAGATTAGTAGTGCTCGTACTTGAGAATCTTTCGGGTGCTATGTAACAGACCCTTCTTCTGGAAGTGTCGAAGAAATAAGAAAAATCAGCTGGGTTGTCAGCAGGGAGAAATGTAGGTTTGAAAGATGCGAAGTCTACAAGCAACACCCAGTTCCATGAGGTGACTGTTATGTTTTCCAGCTTTATATCGCCGTGACATACTCCTACTTTATGGCATTGATGCAACGCATATAACACTTGGAACGTAATCCATCGTTTTTCGATATTCGTTAAAAAGGGCCTGGTGCTGATTCTATCATACAAGCTATACTTCACATATTCACGCATTATAATCCCCGCTTTGTCTGTAAGCAAGATTTTCTGATGTGGGATGCAGTTCACAGCAGAAGACAGCTTTTTTCGAATATCTTCCAGCTGTTCTTTGTACGTTAACAGTGGCAAGGAGGGGTCATGTATTGCGAACACTTTTACTACTACGAGTCCTTCTGGCGAATCAGCCCTAGCGACTTTCAAGAATCTCGTACTTCCGAGACTGTAAATAACAATAATGAAAAGTGCTGATGATATGGGGTACGTGCGTCTTACCTGCAATCAAATTTGAGGTCCGGCAGGTCTGTTAGGTACCGTTCTACCGGAAATATTTGTGAGGGAGCGATCCCAACGAGTTGATTACCCATTTTAAATGGTAATCTTCACAAGAAACGATTTATTGAAAATATTTTTATTTTGGTGTCATTTAGGATTGTTGACAAAGTGATTGTCAATTGTCAGCTGATTATCAATATGTCATTTGAAGGTATGGGGATGGGTTTATAATTGTCGATATTTGAATTTTATGCTCAGCCATACGTATTGGTTATTTCAGAAATGTCAACAGTATCAAGTCAGAGAAATTTCATTTATGAATGTAAATTGTATCACAAGCTATAATATGAACATTTTTTCATTTTTCAACATAGCCACTACAAACACAAGTCAAGCCGTGGCACCAGTTTTTGTGTTAATATAGCATCTGAAACTTATCCTGCGGTTTTCATGACGACTATTTCCCTCGTCTTAATTTCTACCAATCACAAATGCGGAATTTTGAATAACAAATGGTTTCTAGATGGAAAAATTGTATCACGGTGTCACCATTTTTTCCAGTTTACCCGCGGCAAAATTTGACAGCTGTTGTCACCAAAAATTACAAATATATTTGATAACAAGTAATTCTGGCCCCCTAGAACAGCAGAAAACGCCGCTAAGCTAAATTTTGTAATATTGTTTTTAAACAGTGCTAGTCAGCTTATGTAGTGAAAATGTGTCACTTTGGAAGTGATTCTTTGACTAATATTGATCTGGCGATTGAGATATACCTCAGTATATGACTAATCTCTCAGTGTATGCAATGTGCACAATTTAATTAAAAAAAAAACATAGGATGTCAACCCTAACACACAACTAGACGAGTATGCAAGGCTCACCTGGTTTGCTGCGCAGATATCCTGTTCCCCTCAGAAGAGTTGGAGGTAGACCTAATTTCTACTTTGGAGACAGTTGACACCCACGTCACAACACCAAGCACCACTGAGAGACAATCGAGAGTCCTATAGTGAACACCATTACTGAAAAAAAGTAGCTAAACCGAATAGAGCGCTATACGGAGCTGTGAACGCGTAGACTAGAGATGATCGATATATCGGTATCGGCGACCTTTCCCGGTGACTTGAATGGTCGCCGTTAGTCCCGGCGACCTGATTCTCCATGAAGCAGCGACCCAGATCGCTGTTTGGAAGTATCGGTATCGGTAACCACTGATCGGTATCTGTAACGCTGTTTCGGTCGCGGTCGCTGCCAGGAAGCATATACACATCGCGTATGCGATCATCGCGCGGGAAGTACAGGGTCGCTACAGCGTAGCCTAACCTATTTTGTTAGTTTTTATTGTTATTGTTGTGAGTTCCTGTTCCATAGAAAAATGTTTCGTTTATTAAGCAATGTTTAACATATAAAAGAAGCATTTTTATACCACATTTGTTATGTTTTAAAAATTTTATTTTGACTGGTAAAATAGTATTTTGTTTTACTTTTTAAGATTCATAGAAAGATATTTTATGTATTTTAATGATTTTATGTGTTTTGTGCTCCATATTGTTAAAAACAAAAACCTTAAATATAGTTTAATTCAAATCTTCCGGAACCTGAACATCTACACCTCGTTAATATCAATGGATAACCGCCGCCAAAAATTTAATCAGCGCCAGCGAGTCGCTGGCTGCTGGCAGCGACCATAGATAAGCAGTGACCTAAAGCGCTGCTAAATCTACATCGAGTCGCTTCGGGAGCAGGCGCGCGGAGTGGGAGCTGGAAAAGGGCGTGGCTGTACTACCCGGCCGTACCGTATCGCCGCAGCGAGGTACAGCACTCGCATGCTTCAGTCTCTCGGAACGACGGTTTCCGCGCAGCGGGATGTCTACGCGTTCACAGCTCCGTACAGACCTCTATTCGGTTTAGCTACTTTTTTCAGTAGTAGTGTTCACTATAGGGTTCTCGATTGACTCTCAGTGGTGCCTTGTTGTTGTAACGTGGGTGTCAAGTGTCTCCAAAGTGAAAATTAGGTGTATTTCCAACTCTTCTGAGGAAAACAGGATATCTGTGCAGGAAACTAGGTGAGCCTTGCATACTCATCTACTTGTGTGTAAGGGTTGACATCTTATGTTTTTTTAAATAAATTGCGCACATTGCATGCACTGAGAAATTAGTTATACAGGGTGACTTCGGAGTTGAGTCATTTATTTTAACAGTGAGTAGATCTGATCAAAAGAAATGTTTTTTTCCTTTACCATTTTTCTGGTAAAATTAAAGTAACAAAGTTATAGCCCTTTGGAAGTTTGAGTACCGCCCTGTCTCAATAATAATATTACGTGCTCGTGTTTGGCGACAACGGATATAATCCGCCGTATCGGTTCATCGCGTCGGAAACAAAAAAGCGAAAGAATTTGGAACGATGTTTTTACAATTATTTTATTCATTTGTATACAGTCAGTGTCAGTGAATAGTGTGTTGCGTGGCTCAAACGAAATAAAAAATGGCACATGTTTATGCGGATCGGTTTCCCAATCGAGTGCAACCAACCCCTCGTGCCTTTGTTAATGTAGTACAACGGGCTCGTGAATCAGGTGACTTAAGACCTCACAGGGGACCTCACGATCAAATACAGGTCCGCACTGAAATACTTGTCGGGAGGATACTTTATAAAACAAGGTGAAATTTTTTTTTTATTTTTACACACATATTTTGGTTTATCTTCCTTCTACAATCATTATCTAAAAATTAATGACTCAACTTCAAAGTATACTGAGGTATTTGGGAAAAACTAAAATTTGGCCAAATCGTTTTTATTTTTGTCCGACTTTATTTTAAGAAATGTGAAAAAACTAATGGCACTATGTAAGCACTGCATGATGGTCTCTTTAAAAAATTGCTACTCTGTATCTAATAGCAGCTTTTTCTACGACTTCAACGATGAATCACGTTACATTTGTTTTTTAGTTATTAACAAACGTGCTTTTTTATACTTTTTCATTATATTCAAGTAGGCGTTGAAAACAAATGCTTGATGTAAGATTGTGTGTCTACTGAGTTTAACCTAGTCTGATCCTTATCTTGGCCACCCTGTAATACATTATTATAAAAAGAAATTTACAGAAACGTGCACTAATTTAACGTTCTTGTAAATATTCTTATGTACTTACATTCATTTCTGAAAAATCTCAAAAGTATTAGCAAGGTCTCGAACAAAAGCTCCAAGGAAATGGTGATAGCAGAATCGTCCGATGAGCTGGCAACGCCGCAATTCAGGTGACATGATCAACTTTCAAAACGTATGTCTATCTAGTGAAGTAAATAATTATTAGGTTGGCAGCCCTGATTTTTAAGACAGCGTTGCACCTCGGCGCCCGCCAAAATATTCAATATCGAATTTTTAAACGCATCTCTATGCATTTCAAACTTATAGCCCAGGAGATTGAAGAAATCATTTTCAACCTGTTTCCATTTAATCAAGAAAGTATATTGATTGCTGTGAATGGTTGTTTATGAAATGCATTTTTAGCTAAATGAAACACATTTTAGAAAATATCATTTTAATAGCTTAACAATATATACAAAATTTGATGTATATGCACAATAGATCAACAACAAAATATCCTATAGGAAATAAAAACAAAAACCTTAAACAATAAATAAAATATTGTTTTGCTCAATATGTATATAAATATTTTCATGTCACCACCAAACACAAATCAATGATATCATGCTGAAGATCAAATCCAGTAAAATTACGTCAAAATTATTTTTTGATACAAAAAATCTAATTTAAGATAAAACTGTTAGTCTTTAAAACCGATACGCCGGTTTATTTACAATATATATTATAAAATCTCATCACCAGAAGCAAAAATGTGTAGCCTTAGATTTCATCACTAATCACCGGCTAAAATTTGAAAATACAAGCAAAAGCTGCAAATTCCGGTAAATGTTATTTTTTATAAAAATAGATAGATTTTTGCTTCTTATAGTTCAGTTTCCACCGCAAATTTCATGAAAAGCGCATAAGATTTAATACGAAAAAATCACACCTTACTTTAAAAAGAAATTATTTCATCTCTGATAATAACACTTTTACTAAACATTTCGAGAACGTCAGCTATTTTAGATAGATAATAAAAATGATACTGTCAAATCTCAGCATCGTTTCCTAAAATTCGGCGGCTGAACCTTTCAGGCGAAATTATGGAAGATCGTATTTTAATGTTTGATAACGTTTTGTCAAACTAATGCCGCTGTCGGTGTACTTTGTGTGATCTGTTCTACCATGTTCTCGACGTGCCTGAAAGAAAAATAAAACGGATAAAAAATAACGTTAATCATTAACATATTCTCCATGAAGATGACCAACCCTATGTCGGAATCATAATTTTGCAGAGTTGCTTGCTACAAACTATTTGCAAAGTTTGGATGATAACGGACAGGCTGATGTTGCTTATATAGACTTTGAAAAGGCATTTGATAGAATAGATTTAGGCATCCTATTAAAAAAACTCATTTCCTTTGGATTCTCCGATGATCTTTTATCATTGTTTAATTCTTGTCTTTTCAACCGGACTCAATATGTTGGATAAGAAGGATACCATTCACCGCTTATAAGGCCTACTTTGGGAATTCCTCAAGGCTCAAATCTAGGACCTTTACTATATCTGTTATACATTAACGATTCGACTCTTGACTTGCATTGTTCAAGATTATGGTCTACAGACGACTTGAAAATATACTACCCAGTAAAGACTAGTACAAAAAAGGAAAAAAAAAAACACCTAAAAATATCTCACCTGTATTTCTTGATCCTCTTCCACTCGCCATTGTTGTAGTTCATCTGGAAATGCGTCTCCACAAGCATCGTCAAGTAGGTGTCGTCGGGCTGAAGCACATTCTCCTGATCTTCGGACAGTTTGATGGTGACTATGTTGCCGAGATGCGGGCACGGATTATCCCTGGATCCTGCCATGAAACCGAGGATGAGCGCTTTCTCGGGTCTGGTCACTTTGTTCGCTGTACGGAACATGTCCTGAGCCTCCAACATTTGCTCTCTCTGCAACGAAGGATGATGGACCGGTTACTGAACAGCTCAAATGCGGAATTTAAAGTTAAAAAATGTCTTAGTATTTGGAGGTTCGCATATAATTTTCATCGCCACGGCCATGTCGCCAAGTAGGAGTGCAGTAATTTCCTTAGGAATAATAAAAATAGACACCATCATCTTTCCAAAAGAAATTAGTTTATTCTTGAACGTGTCATCAACCTCTCTAGTAATTTTCGTCTTCTCAGCATTTCTCAACAAACGGAAAAGAAAATCCCATAACCTGCGACGATAGTCCGAGACGTGGCAACGCTGGCACCTAAAAACGCTGGTTGTTACCTATGTAGTTTTGAGCATAACTAGTATAATTTTTTTGTATTTTCTGTCGATTATTTACGTTATTAAATATATATTTCATTCATGGATATAGCTATATTTATTTATTAATCAAATACTTAAAGCTGCAGTGCCAACGACGTTGATTTAAACGCCATACTTCTGGCGCGCTTCGCGGTGACGTCACCGTCCCTGACATGTCATTTGATTTCTTTTATTAGGTTGACATGTCATCAGTAAGTATTTATAGGTTATGTTCATTACTGCAAATTAAAATAAGCTGGAAATTCTCAATGTTTATTTTTGATCAAATATTAAAAACTGCGATGTTAATGACGTTGATTTGAACGTCGCATTTTTGGTACGCCTCGCGTAAACGTCACCGTTCCAGACCTGTCATTTGATTGTTTTTTTTTGTTGGTTAGGTAGCTGTAGAATTTTCGACATATCATCTGTAAGATTACAAAGCATTTATAGGTTATGGTTATACGATCAATGACAGTGAGAACGAACAAGGGGGTGACGTCACACCGAAAGCGTTGTGTTTCGGCATTTAAAATTTACCGCGTTTTTTTCAAATGTTATTTATTAATTAATATTAGCGCTATTTCGTTCGTGTTTATCAAAAAGGAAGCAGAATGTAAGCTCGGTGGGCACCGCCTCCGACCTTTTGCCTATTTGCAACGGGGTACCGCAGGGCTCAGTACTTGGCCCCCCGCTATTTCTAATGTATGTATATCAAAGACCTGCCCTCGAGTACAGATCCTGCGTAGAGATACTTATAACAGATTTTCAAATTTTCAATAAATTAAAAATTTTCCAAATTATCAGACTATTCAAAATTTTAAAAATGTCACAATTTTGATAATGTTGAGGATTTCGAAAATTCTGAGATTTTTAAAATTTTTGAATATTCTAATAATTTTAAAAATCGTGAATATATCGGAAATTTACACAATTTTGAAAATTCTGATTTTTTTTAAATTTTGAATATCCTGATAATTTTGAAAATTGTGAATTTGTATATCGAAAATTTACACAATTTTCTGAATTTTAAAAATGATGAAAATTTTTAATATTTAGAGAATTTCGAAAATTCTAAAGACTTTTAGAATGTTGAATATTCTGATAATTTTGTAAAATTTGATAATTATGAAGATTTTGAAAATTCAGAAATTTTGAGTATTTTGATAATTGTGAATATATCGACAATTTACACAATTTTCCAAATTTTGTAAATGTTAAAACATGTTTAGTTTTTGAGAATTTTGAAAATTCTAAAGATTTTTAAAATCTTTCATAACCTGATAATTTTGAAAACTTTGATAATGAAGATTTTGAAAATTCTGAGTTTTTTTAAAATTTTGAATATTCTAATAATTTTATTTTGAAAAAGTTGATAATTTTTACTATTTTGAATATCCTGATAATTTTAAAAATTGTGAATTTGTATATCGAAAATTTACACAATTTTCTAAATTTTAAAAATGATGAAAATTTTTAATATTTAGAGAATTTCGAAAATTCTAAAGACTTTTAGAATGTTGAATATTCTGATAATTTTGTAAAATTTGATAATTATGAAGATTTTGAAAATTCAGAAATTTTGAGTATTTTGATAATTGTGAATGTATCGACAATTTACACAATTTTCCAAATTTTGTAAATGTTAAAACATTTTTAGTTTTCGAGAATTTTGAAAATTCTAAAGATTTTTAAAATCTTTCATAACCTGATAATTTTGAAAACTTTGATAATGAAGATTTTGAAAATTCTGAGTTTTTTTAAAATTTTTAATATTCTAATAATTTTAAAAATCGTGAATATATCGGAAATTTACACAATTTTAACAATTTTCTTTTGAAAAAGTTGATAATTTTTAATATTTTGAGAATTTTGAAAATTCCGATTTTTTTTTAAATTTTGAATATCATGATAATTTTGAAAATTGTGAATTTGTAAATCGAAAATTTACACAATTTTCCAAATTTTGTAAATGTTAAAACATTTTTAGTTTTTGAGAATTTTGAAAATTCTAAAGATTTTTAAAATCTTGCATAACCTGATAATTTTGAAAACTTTGATATTGAAGATTTTGAAAATTCTGAAATTTTTCAAATTTTGAATATTCTGATAATTTTGAAAATAGTGAATATATCGCAAATTTACACAATTTTAACAATTTTCTGAATTTTGAAAATTTTTATAATTATGTAGATTTTGAATATTCTGATAATTTTGATAATACAATTTATACGTCAATGCAAGTGAAAAAGATAATTTTGAAAATATGTCTGACGGTTACTTCTTAAAGCTTGTTAAAAAACATTGCTTAGTCACTGTTTCTATTCAGTTGAAGTTCAAAATTGGGTTACATGATACCACTAAACGTTTCCTTGTGTGTTTTTCTCTTTGAAAGCCGGTGCGATCAAACTCAAGAAATGTTAAAATAGAGATCAAAGATATTGGATCGATGTCAAATTTCATAAAAAATCATACATAAGCCTAAATAATACAAAAAAATCGTTGATGCCTAGAAATTCAACATTGACCCGGAAAATCCTCAGACTTGTAACATTTCACGCAAACTTAAGCGAATTCATAAAGCAGAAAATATTCAATATGTCGATAACAATTTTAAAATGAATTCTAAAATACACAAATTAAAAAACTTCCACAAAACGAACAGATCCAATAACATTCATTATTCTGAATAATAATTGTTGATATATTACCGTAAGCGCGAGTCCTCTTCTCTGTAAAACATTTGTGGCTGGTTGTGGTTGAATCCTGATATGCGTTACAGTTTGTTGCTGTTGAACTGGCCTCTGAGTGATCACGACTGGCGTGCCGATTATCTGTTGAACTTGTGTTCCTGGTTGGATCTGCAACAAAAATAAACATCTAACTAAGGGATTTTGCAAGAGAATACGCAATCAAAAGGAAAAAGAAATTTCAAATAAAGTAACACACACATAATAATACGAGACAACTTTTAACCAACGACGCAAACAATGGAGAATTTTATTAATTAGTTATCAGATGTAGAGTAATTATGTACTTGTATTGTAGCAAACCAATAAACACACATTTATCTTTGTTCGTGTTATTAGAAACTAAAATTCAAAAAAAAAAAACAAACATACCTGCGTCTGCTGCACTTGCACCGCCCCCGTAGTAGCCAACAGCGGCGGCACCGGCCGCATGGCCGCCTGCGCCGCGAACTGCACTTGCGACTGATTGGTCGGCTGCTGCTGCGCCACTTGCACCACCTGCGGTTGCGCCGCCTGAATGGGCGTGGCCACGAGCGTGACCGAACTGGGCGGAGCAACGGCCGCAGTGGGCGTCGCCTGATGCTGTTGAGCGGGCGGCAGGGCGGCGACCAGTGGCGGAGCGGGCGTCGTCGTTGTCGCTGGTTGTTGTTGAGGTTGCAGCGAAACGACGGTCGCTGTAGTTTGTTGTTGCGGGGTGGGTGGTATGGATGCGGGGACAGCTGGAAGAGAAATAATCATTGTCAGTTATAAATGCTGTGTTTCATTTATTAACAGAGTAAACCCGTCACGATATAGTTGTATTTTTCGAGCACTGCTAAAACCGATTTTCGACGAGACAATATTTCCCCCTGACTCTAAGGATTTTCCAGACACATGGCAACACAGGTTATACTCACTCGATGTAGGCGTGGCTGTAGCAGCAGTGACCGGTTGCGGCGTAGCAGGCGGAGCGTAAGTGGGCGTGGCCGTCAACCCTGCCGCGTAATCCGGCGTCGTACCCCCACCACCTGCGGCTGCTGCGGCGTTGCCGCCTGTTGCGGGAGGCGGACTTTGCATCGCCGCCGTCTCCGATGCTTTCTTCGCTGCGTCTTCCATTTCCTGCGAATGATTTGCAACACATTTGTACCATTTACGCCTGTATACATCAAAACACTGCTAACAATTTCTTTTCTTTAAGATGTAGTTCGATACGAACACACTATAAATATTTTTATTAAAAACTAAAGGTTCAGCGTAAGAGAGTGAATGAGCATCCAAATCCCGGGTTTCTTCGCGCGGTATAAATATAATTATTGAAAGCTACAGATCCTGCGTAAGAGAGTGACTGAGCATTCAGATCCTGGGTTATTTCAATGCACTGAAATTTAATTTAACCTTGCAATACCTGTATTTTTTTCAATAATCTAAATGACGATCTATCCATCTATTTACCTGCATCTTCTTTCTCTTCTTGGCTGCGGCGTAACCGAGTGGTTGATCGGCAATGTCAAGTAGCTTGACTCCACCCTCTTTTCGACCAGCTGGGCCACGTATTGGGGGCCGGTTGCTCATGTTGCTGTTCAGGACGCCAGAGCGAAAACCGGAAGTTGGCACGCGGCTCGGGATACCTTTCAATGGGGCTGAAAGGAATTTGAAAAAATGTTCGTTATGCTTCGACCAGTGAAATTATTAAGGTCGTGTTAAGATGCCATCTATGACAGGGGAGAATGCTGCAAAAGAAATTAGCGCCACCAGACCTTATTCTTTTTCCAAAACTTGAGGAATTACAAGCTGAAAGAAACAGTTACTAACTGGTTTAAGGGGTAGTGTTCTTTGACGACGGGATCCATGGCTATGTTAAATAATGAAAAAATGTTATGTTATTTTAGTTTGTAATACAATAAAGTTTCTGTCACTCATTACAAAACAGTTCTCACTTAATACTCAGCTTCCACAAAGATCTTTGAGCTGATTCATTTTGGATAAAGTATTAAAAGCGAGCATTTGAAAATTATACCCAAGGACATACCAGAACCATCATTTACCTAATCAAAAAATGCTGTGAATTCCGTATATATCCCTCAATTTTAAACAAGGTAATATAAGGTAATATGAAATATAAAAAGGATATGGCATACAAATTTTAGCATAATACCATGATGTAGAAACACTTACTAGTATCAGTCATTTTTCTAGGCATGCCTCTAGACCTGACTGGTATCACTGGAGCACTGGATTTCTTGTTCAAATTTGAAGCAGCATCTGAGGATTTTTGAAGCAAGTCAGCTCTTAACAAAGCGGATTTTGGTTTCTTCTTAATTGTAAAATGTCTCAGAGGTTCGGGTCTATTTCCTACCTAAAAAAATTACATCAAGTATATCATAATCTACATTTCAAATTATAGGAAATAAAACAATCTTTTTTTTTGTTTCAATGGCAAATAGTATTATGAAGGTAATAGAAATAAAAATGCTGAGTAATTCATAAAAACTCACAACTGACACCAAGGCAGCCTTGTTTAAATAATGGCACTCCACAGGCAGGATACTGTGGTCATTTTGCTTTCTCACAAGTTTCCTCAAATCTGTGATTAGGTCGTTGAAAATAGGCCGTACTTCATCGACATCTGATATTTCTGTATTCAAGGACCCTGTCGAAGGATACGTCTTCAAAGCATCTGCCAGCATCCCCACCCATAACTCAGAGTCTTGCACTGCTACATCAAGGATTTGCTCTAGCTCTGATTTCCACTGAAAAAAAGTTAATTGAAATGTGCTATAAATATCATATTACATTTTTATAAGCTATTTACACAAAATATCAATGAAAATTCAAAATTCATCATAGTCTCACTGACTGAGAGTTTTGGCATTAAACATATGACAACATAGAGAATTGCAACAAATCATATAAAATGGTTGTTAGAAGGTATGAACCAGTACAAAAAAGTCACAACAAAATATTGCCACTGATAACACTCCACTCTTAATTTTACTCTGGCTCAGATTCATTAGAATTGTGTGGCATTTGATATTATGGGGTATTTTGGATGTCATTTCATAATCAGCTGTTCATAGTTGTTAATTGTTTTGAGCTATTATTAAAAACTGTATATAGCAATAATCAATCTGAAGAAAAATACATAAACACTGATATCAATTTTTTTTAAGCAAATAGTTTCAAAATGATGGAAAAATTATATCTTTCAAGTAGATAAAGGTATCAACTCAAAATTTTGTACCAAACGTACAGCATAAATAATACAAACAAAAATTTTTGTCCTAACTATACAGGATGTTTGAAAAATAGATGGATATATTTTAGTGAGTGATTCATTGTTAAATAGTATGAAAAAAAGTTTCTATTAACATTGGTCCAGAAATGCAGAGGTTTTAAGATAGAGGGTGCTATATTTAAAAAACTTTTTTTTAATTATGTATCTTAAAAAATATTTACTTGATTCTGTTGACATTTTGCAATATTATTTTTTGTATTAAGATTAAATAGATTAAAATTATTAGGTCCAGTGGCATCCCAGGATACATTAGCAAATATTATTGGTAAAAAAATGTAGGCTACTGTCTTGTTTGTAACTTTAATATTTGCTGTTTGATAGGCATCTAAAAATAGTTTTTGGATTTTTTGTTTTCCAAGGCACCTGTGATTTTTTAGCAAAAATTAAAAAACCAATTATAAGAGAAGTTGTATTTTTAGATGCTTAATCAAACTACACATATTAAAGTTACAAAACAGACAGTAGCATACATTTTTTTCAATAATATTTGCTAAAATGCCCCAATAATTTTAATCTATTTAGGGATAAAGTAGCCTCTTAATAGAATGAATAATATTGCCAAAAAAAATCGAGTAAATATTTTTTCAGATAATACATTTTTTTTTAAATTTATCTCTGTATCTTAAAAACTCTGCATTTACGAACCCATGTTTATATAAACTTTTTTCATATTTTTTTAACAAGGAATCACCCTCTAAAATATCTATTTTTCAAACACCCAAATAACAGCAGATTATCTAGTAACATTTAAAAATATCAACTGACAGATCTGTCAATGCTAGATCTGTAGACAGAGTCATATTTAGCTGTGATCTTTTATGTTACCGATTCATACTTTCTAACTATAGGTGAATTCTTTAATTCACCGGTTGATTCCACCACTGATGGATGCAGTGCTTATGGTTGACACTGTTGACAGCTTTGTATGGTGACAGCAGCAACCGGTTGAATTAAAAGGATGGATGTCTGGTCCACCGGTGGCACCGGTTGCTCAACTGGTGAATTAAAAAATACACCAAATGCTTCTATTTAGAAAAGTTCCTTAACAGGCTATAAGCTAAATGGCTGCTAATGACTATGATTATATTTTGACGTCAGGTTGAAATAACCAATTTTTGACTATTTTTGGTTTGAATAGTTCTGAATACGCTCCTCAGTTTCATTAAAGAATCATTGTTGCCAACAGAACTTAAAAGACCTTAAGACATGTCACTGGCTAATTTTGTATCATAATATACATAAGTTGTCTCTTGAAAATTTTCATCTGACCAACTTTTGGAGAAAAATTGTTCTAAAGTTTAAGCTATAACTTAAACCTGTTCTATCATTGGCTATTGTATTCAACCTGGTTATACTTTGAAACTGTACTGAAGTTAGTAAAGTTTGATTAGGCATTAAACATTAGAATGCACTATATCAACTGAGTAAGTAATACCATTTCACAACCCAGTTATTTAAAGAATATTCATGTTTTGTTCTTCGTCAGACGCGTAGAAATGTTCAACACCCTGTCCCTTGGTAATGGCACATTTTAATACCTACGCTTACAGGAGCTGATTATGTTAAACAACGCATGTGACAAACATGCAAATTATTTGTGGATACTTATAACGTAAACATACCTCTTCCAAGTTACGACGCGGGATATGGAAAAAACTGAGCAATAATTTCAGCTTCACTTGCGTCTGAAGGTCTGGAAAACAGTCCTTGATGTTCCTCAGCACTTCGGCGTTCAATTGGGAACAAATTGAGCCTCCGGTCCAAGAATCATTCGAAATTCCGAGTTTATTATGCAGCCACAAAGATGTATCGCTATCACGCACGTTCGCCATTTTGTAAAGACTGACGTAAGTGGCAAAGTGGCGTTTAGTCTGTCACGTGTGGATTTTTGACATTCGACGGCTTTTGGCGAATATGTAGTGATGGGGACAATGTTCAATGTTTTATACCACGGGGCAGGAATTATTACCTTGTACGGCATAAATAGATTCAAATTACTTGTGCAAATTACTAGCATTGTGTCAGGCTCAATTTCTAGAAGAGTCACATGCAAACAAAATGAAATTTTACACACAAATTGTGGGTGGCTTGGACGAGCTATACGGGTTGCCTAGCTTACGCTCTCTGATACTTGTGGCGCCTTATTTGTTTGTTTAAAGCGAATCTCATAATATGATTATGAATTAATCACCTAGATCCTATAGTATTTTTTGGCGACTGCATTCGCCAACTGCTTATAAAACTTTTCTTGGATAATAATCGTCTGCCACAAAATAGTCTTACATTACACCAGACATACATAATATACTTTATGAACCAACGAGAATGGAATAGATAAATATCTTATGATGTGCTCAATAGAGTACATAGACGAGGCGAAAACTTCGCATTCGTATATTTTCCACTAGATTTTTTTTGATAATTACGTTTATCGGATGCCCCACAATAATGCCCTTAGCATATGAATCAAGATGTTGTCTTATGTTCGTGTGATTTTGTTTTCTATCAGAACGAATTAAGATAAATAAAGATTTTGACTTTAAAAAATCAAACGTCAAAATAAAGAACATCGAAAGACCTTTCAAACAAGCTATTACTCGATACCGCTTGTCATTTAAAATATTTAAGGAATGATCCTGAGAGGGGCGAGGCTGGAGTAGTTTTTGGTTAAAAAGTTGACAAATCTTCCGACGTGTCTCAGTGTTTTTTTAATTTAATCAGTGGTTTTCGATAAATCCGTGGTGAATTTCAAATGAATATTTCAAAACTCAACTCATACTTTTATTCGCAACAAACCGTTGCTGTTCATGCCGAACTTCATACGGAAACGCACGAAGTCGTATCGAACAGTGCCGATCCACCCGTACGCCGATCGTTGTTATCGATAAAAAAATCTACAAATCTAGTTGGCTGTGGGCCGGTCGAATCGCAGGAGGCTGACAGTCTCAGGTGATCCGCGCATTTCAATATTTCGAAACCGACGCGTCGGCATCTGCAGGTTTTTCTTGCGTTTGAAGTAGTTTTTACGGGTTTTCGTGTGCCATGTGAACATTCCGGATATAATTCTGAACATTCCGGATATAATTGTGAACAGTGGAATAGTGCCGTTTGTGCCTTGGGATTTAATGGAGACGTTAAGCCTCACAACCAGGTAGGATTTGAGTTGTGGACATATTTTTATTCACAGGAACTGCTCGAAATGATTGTGATAGCGGTTTAACTTATCTCTGCTATATTAAAACAGTTCAGACTCTAAACCAACATCTTTCTCCAATAACCAATGTACCTGTGCCTTCATTTTGAATGATAAATGCAAGATTTTCAACATTTATCTTCATCTTGATTAGCATTATTCATTTGTTTCAATTTTTATGCTGAAGGCATCAAACAGGCTAACTAGATTTCGTTAGAAATCTGAAAATCAGTAAATTTTGCGATGACACAATTTAAAAAGTATGTTTCTATTTGTTTCGGGTCCAGGATCCAGTTGAGATGAAAAACAGCACACTAGGTGGTGTATAGGCTAAACTTTTCTAGAGCAAATTCTAAATATTAGGATCAGTCAGAAATGCAGGTTGCTTAAAAGAATCTGAGTTATGTATTTCACATGTTTCAAACTCCAGACCGTTAATTTTTCTTTTATTTTGATAGCTTTAGTTTGAGAGGCAATTTCAAAATATTTTGTATTTGTTTCAGGTCCAGCTATAGCTGAAGGCGCAACAGAATGACATACTAGGTAAGCGGTTTTATTTGATAATATTATGTTTCAAATGAAACTAAACCATTATTATAATGACGAATAATTTTTCGAGGTAAAAAGAAATTTAGATATATGAAGGATAAGGGCTTGCTGGCGACAAGCGCTTCAGTTTTTTCAATCTTCCTGTAAAAAGATGTTAAGAATCACGCAGTGCTGAGATGATAGTTGATATATAAATAAAAAATTGGAAAGACGGTAGTGAAAAGGTTAGTGCGGAGGGCCAGTGCTTGGATATTCTAAATAAATGTTGAGAAATACGAATGTAATGTGAAAAGTCAAGAACTTTATTTCAAGATATTTTTTATATCTTATTTTTAACGGTTTATGTGATTTTAGGGGTTATAATCTAAGTTTCATCAACAACAGGGTGTCCAGAAAAAAGTGTGCAATATTCTACTATCGGTTTCTAGAGCTTAAAATAGGAAGAAAACTTTATATAAACATAGGTCGACAAACGTCCCCTAAGGGCGCTACGGTCTTTTAAAGGGGCTCCCCTAAAGATGGTTTTTCCTTAATATTTCCGAAACGTGTTGAGATAAAGACATAAAAGTTGGTATTATAGACTGGTTTTTTTATGCTGGACTTAAAAATCTTAACAATTTTAGACAGTTTTGTTTGGAAGCGTATGTAACAGGGACGGACTCAGGTTATTTTAGCCCCAAAATTTTTGTGTGATTCTGTTTTTGAAATTCAATTTTAGAATTTCGAAAATTTAGGGTTTTCTACATAAAAAAGAACTCTGATTGAATATTGATAAATTGTGCCATTTTTGAATAAAATCGCAGTACATTTCCTATCATGTTACAAATTTTTTAGTTTGATTTTATTCAAAAATGGCACAATTTATCGATATTCAATAAGAGTACCTTTTTTATGTACAAAACCCTAAATTTTCAAATTCTAAAATTGAATTTCAAAAATAGAATCACACAAAAATTTTGGGGCTCAAATAACCTGAGTCCGTCACTGTTACATACGCTTCCAAACAAAACTGTCTAAAATTGTTTATATTTTTAAATCCAGCATGAAAAACTAGGCTAGAATACCAAATTTTATGTCTTTATCACACGTTTCGGAAATATTAAAGAAAAACCCTTTAAAAGACCGTAGCGCCCTTAGGGGACGTTTGTCGATCTATGTTTATATAAGCTTTTCTTCCTATTTTAAGCTCTAGAAACCGCTAGTAGAATACTGCACACTTTTTTCGGGACATCCTGTATAAAGATTTTTTACGAACCTTAAATTTTCAGTATCGGATTCAGCTTTCTTATTTCCTTGTATTTTATTAAGTCTTCAGGTTGTAACGCTTGTACCCGTTGATAATGATAATCTTTCACTATTTCTTTTATTATGCATCTTTTATATAGGTGGTTTTTCGTATATCATCTCCTTTTGACGAGCTCTACAAGCAGTTAAAATAAATGACTCAACTTTGAAAACACCCTGTATAATTATACTCGCCGTTGTACCTGATTTGATTTTCTTTCTCAGAAATGAAACACTATATCGGCATTCGATTAAAACACAAAAATCGTATTTCAATTTTTATTGTAAAATGACAAAGAATAACTCTAAAACTTTTCAGAATCTTAATATATATGTTTGATATAGATATAATATGTATTTGAGTACATGATATAGATGTTTAAACTGAATATTTTCATTAATGATTTGATTCAGTACTTTCAGCTTACTATCAATCTAACACATCTTATAGCATATACAGTTTTTCTATTCAAAACACATATACGAAAGATAGCAAGCTGAAAAATTCAATCATTTTCAAAATCGTGTGGTTTATTCCAAAAATTCAATACCATCGGAACTGGCCAAACCTTGGATTAATACTGATGTTGGCACCCATTTTTTCGGTGGTATTTGTTATACAGAATTCAAGTTGGTGAATGAGATTTGTTCCAGTTGAGAGAAAAATAGAAAGGCTCCATTTACACCAGACTTAAAAATATTGACCATTGCGACTTGAAAGTAGAGTCTGTAGCAGTTGTTCCAATTCGACATTTTCTTGAAACGACAGTTGATGGAACTATACGAGACCATTAACGTTTTGGTTTCCAAGACAATTTTTTCAAAGCTTAAACGTTAATAAAGTTTAGCGTTTTTCTCCCATTTTTTTCTTACACAGAATGCAATTTAAACTACTCTGTATGTATTATTTAAACATATGCATTTTGCTTTTATATATGACTCTCAATCTATTGTTATTTTGGCACTAAAATACTTTGCTTTTAATAAAAATAAACTTATCACATTCAGTGCGTTGATGAGACTTGTAGCAAAAACTATGTTCCGAAGCACTGCTATATCTGTATAATATCTAAAAAGCTGATTGTACATGCCTATGGTCCCATTTCTCAAAATAAGTCAATATACTAAGTAAAACATCTTTTCTTGTTGAGAAACATACTCTTAACAATGCAAACTCAGTCTAATGTTACATCTTTTTTGAGAAGACATCATTAACTTCTTTATTCAAAAGCTGTCATTCTGCTATATAGAGTAATAACTTGATATGCCATTTTCGCGTGGATATATTGGTAAAATGATATATCTATCATGAAACGTTTATTCAAAAATAAGGTCGCTCTTTCAGAAGTGCTTGTATTTCCCGCATTTCTACCGTTTCCTCTATATATTCCTAATGATTGTAACGTTTTCTTATCATGCTAAAACCGTGTGCTTCGGAAACATATTAGTAATATCGGATTAAGTCAAAGATCTACGCTGGCGTACCCAGAGAAACAGAGCGACGCAGGTAGTTTGCGTTTTCTAAAATGAATTGTTCTGGCAAATCGAAATGTTGCCGGTTCGACTACAACCATAGCGAGCGTTTTTGCTTTTTTGTCGCTTTGGAGCGGCAAAGCTGTGCTTTGCGCTTGATCCTAAGAAAACGATATACGTGCAACGCGTATCTTTAATTCATCTATCATTTCTTTGATACTACTTAAGATCAATTTGATTGATCCTGTGAAGCATACAGCCAGATTTTTTGGTCTATATTTTCAGTCTTGATGTAAAGGAGCCTCTGGAAAAGAACGAACCAATACGGGACTTCCAAATACCGTCTATTGTAGTTACTTTAAGTATCGTGCAAAAAAATGACTAGATATTTTGTAAATTCATTTTGTGC